CAGTCACTGGGTGTTTAACAACTCTGACTTACGAATGACAGTAGCCCATTCACCACACTACCTATCTAGTCCATAGATCAGTTCACTTCAATTAACAAAAATCCAGCTGAATCAGACAACGTAACAACTGTATTAATCAATGTGAAGACAAATGAAATAAAAATGTCCCTATCTACATACATTTCATTTGTAAGACAAGCAAATAGATAACTCAATATAAGCAACGAAAATAAGTGTTGATTCGCAAAATAAATCTTTCACATCAGGTGATAGAATATCAAAACCATTAGAGTTGGGTATAGATCTACTGAAGCTTACATCAAGAAAAAACTAATCTGCCAACTACAATTAGTTTACATAATTCAATCCATTGAGTATAACCAATCAGCAAAACCAGATACTTAATATTTAGAGTCAAAAACCTGACAAATACTTTTATATCATGTCAAGGCATAATTATTGTTTAGAATATACTAAAGCTACCATTTTATAGGACGTTATTAAGGATGAGTTTTGTAAATGTCAGTTATTGATTGGTTGTAGAGTACAGATATTGATAGAATGTAGTGTCGCATACACACTATCAAACGTTTTAATTAAAAGAAACCCTGGAAAGAATCGCTTCTTCACAATGATTATTAATAATAATGAGTATACTAATATCTCAATTTATTTATAGGACTTAATTATATTACGGCTATTTATTAACATTTATGTATGAAGTTTGCTACAAATAAGCTTATTAGTTTTCTATATTTCTTGTTAGTTTTTTCAAAGATATTTATTTTCTATTCTTGTTACCCAGTATGTTATCATGTACACTACGTAAATTGTATTTGGTATTTCTGATCATTTTGATTTTTCTGGATACTCTGAAAAATTAGGCGATAAATTCCAACAGAACTTTGATTTTAAGCTTCACTCTTCATGATATCCATAGGTTTTATCCTAACATATGATGTTGAGTTACCCTGGTAATACACTTAGTAGATGATATGTGTGATATTGAATTAGTTTGCGTGTTGTTTCCCCCCAAATTTTTCCCATTCTTTATGCCGATTTCGGATTTTCTAGAACAAAACTCAATTGTCTTGTGCAATAGAGATGCCATACCAAAAGATGTATTCATGAAATAATATCGTCAGATAATTGAGTAAGATTAACCATATCTAAGACAATTGAATGAAACAGTCAAACTAAACTAAACTTTTCGTTACACGGATAAAGAAATTATATTTCAATTTAGTTTTCTTATTACAGTGTAACACAGAATACACTTAGTGACTAATACGCTCATAACATGAAAGTTGATACCATTTCAAAAAGTTTATCATCCTCATATAGAATATTGTAAGCTTTCCTTTAACCAACTACAATTTATTTATTGCAATTAACATAATCCATTTTAATAATCATTTTAAATCATGATACAAGAATTTGACATCGTCATTTGAGGACGCTTATTTCATGTTTTAATTTTATTCAAAATAAATATCCATGTATAGTGTTCAAGTTCTACGGCTTGTGCTTGGCTATGAAAACATTGAATGTTTCTTCAAAAAAAGTTTTTGTTTTGGAAGATAAGCATATGTAGAAATAAGAATGAAAATAAAGAGAGCATTGCACAATCGATGGTTCGCACAGAAATATTTTTATTTATTTTTTAAACACAAATATTGGTACAAAGGGGCACCAGATATATATGTGCCACACAAATCAAATGAGATTTGTGTGAGGGATGTGAGACTGCCTAGGTGCCCGAACTGAAGCAGATGGTTTTCTTAGGGGCAACAACCGGAGCCTTTGACATAAAGGTCTGATCCACAAGGTAGGGGATCATCGTGAGGGGATGCATACGCCATTTGTTCCCTCAGGATACTGGAGCCCATGTGCACCATTGGTTTGGAATCAGGGTTTTCCAACTCCTCTCCGTGGACTCGCCATGTCTACTAACCCGGTTAAAGAGTCGGACGTTCACTTTTCGTCCTCTCAATTTCGTAAACAACACGCGCACCACGAGAAGGCAGTGAGTAGGACTTCCCTGGCAGAGGCTATATACACGTGACCATGTGAGAGCATTTCGACAGCGGACTCTTCTCACTTACGGCCGTACCAGGGCATTTGGGGGCACGAAATATTACATACAACCATGTTATAGGATTTGGTGTGTATAAAACCAAAGAATAATATTTGATCCATCATATATTGGAAGTCATTTCACTACATAATGATAAAAATAATTTCTATGTGAAAATATCATGTTAGTGAGCTAGTTAAAAATAACTCAAGGGAGCATTCTAAGGCATTTTGAAGCAACAATTCATTGAAACCACTATTCATTGAACTAAATCATATTTTCTCATGCTGTAATCAAATGAATTATGAATGCCATTTCAGTGAAGTCTTGATAAGACTTGAGAATATAGATTTTGAATGAACATCCAATATTAATGATGGACATAATATGCATAAAAATAAAACTTCATATCGATGGGAATGCTTTCCACTCAATAAATTTGAAAAAAAAGTAGCGAAGTATCAATGGATGCATGATCAGTAGTAAATAATTTGAGAACGACTCGTTCAAATCATGATTATGTAGGAAATAAGTTGAAATAATTCGTCATAATACCTAAGCTACTTACTAAAAAGTAGGTAGTTAACAATTATACTTAAAATTCGTAGTTACTGGTAATAATTTGACCACGTAGATTTGATCAAACAGATCACCCGATCATAATTAAAGTTTTCTCAACGTCAATTTTTTTCCTTAGCAGATAATAACGTTAGGCTATTTATCAAATTATATAAATCATTCTAAGATATCATTGGTTTGGTAATAAGTATGCAATAAACATTTTGTGCAAAAACTTAGTAATATGACCGAAGATTTCAAAAATAATCCAATACATTGTATCAAATTTTCTTTCGAAAGATGATTATTAATCGACTATTTATTGTACGTATAAATGGATTGAAGACCTAATCATTACTTCATAAATTACAAATAGGTTATATTTACTTCAAACTAACTAAGCAGACTGTAATTCTGACTCAGCAAACAATAAGTATGGATTGGAATTGAGCACATAGATCTATACTTGACCAATTGGTTGGATTATATATTGATGAAATGGACAATAAGCTTAACCCAACTACAAGGAAAACAACCAAAAGCTTGAGCATTCGAAACAAAATGGATGTTATCATTTGATGAATTCGACCAATAAACCTTATTCTCGTACTAAAATTACACTAACTTGTTATACATATGATATGTCGGCAGGAAGAACGTTGGGCTCTGAACAGCATTTACACACTCAAAAAATCCTCATCACGTGATCAAATCAGGACATATAATGTGCTACGCATTATTTTTATGCTAAATAACATCGCATATACAAAATAACATGATGGTCACATTTAGGTAGGGTTTTTTTCTGTGAGCTGGATGGTTTGGTCGTGGAGCTTTCATTGTTTTTCGAACATCATCAGCAAGAACGTCAGGTGAGAGTTTGCGCTGATGTTGTTCAGAAAAAAAACAGGTAGCTCCACGAGCAAACCATCTAGCTCCTAGAACAAAACTCCACCTAAATCATCCACCTCAGCTACAAATCTTCACCATCTCATAATGGTCGCCATTTGTTCCCTCAGGATACTGGAGTCCATATACACCATTGGTTTGAAATCAGGGTTTTCCAACTCCTCTAGGTAGACTTTCCGTGTCTATCAACCTGGTTTAAGCGCCGGAAATTCGCTTTTCATTCTTTCAATTTTGTAAACAACACCCCCGCCACGAGAAGGCAATGAGTAGGACTTCCTTGGCAGAGGCTATATACGCGTGGCCATGTGAAAGCATTTGGAGATGGAGAGCGGACTCTTCCCACTCTCGGCCGTACCAGGGCATTTAGGGGCACAGAAATACTACATACAATAATATAATAAGATTTAATGTGTATAAAACCAAAGAATAATATTTGATCCATCATATATTATAAATCATTTGATTATGTAACGATAAAAATAATTTCTATGTGAAAATATCATGTTAGTGAGCTAGTTAAAAATAATTCAAGGGAGTATTCTAAGGCATTTTGAAGCATCGATTCATCGGAACGACGGTCCATTAGACTGAATCATCTTTTCTTATGTTGTAAACAAATTACTTATAGATGCAATTTCAGTGAAGTTTTGATAAGACTTGTGAGAATTTAGATTTTGAATGAACATCCAATATTCATGATGGACATAATTTGCGTAAAAGTAAAACTTCATATCGATCGGAATGAGGAATACTTTTTACTCGATAATTTAAAAAAAAATGTATCTAAGCAGAGGCTATGTACGCGTGGCTATATGAGAGCATTTCGAGAGGGAGAGCGGACTCTTCCCACTCTCAGCAGTACAAGGGCATTTGGGGGCAGTGTATAAAAGCTTAGATCATAGATATTATTCTATCAGTAAATCATTTTCAATAAACAACTTCCAGAAGTTTGAATGAAATTTTATAAGTACTAAATTGTCTACACTCAGAGATAAATTACTCATAAGTAAATATATGACAAATTGAACCGATCCACTAACCAACCAGATTTGAATGTATTACGTATAACTGATTCATAATCAGTAAATATAAGAAACCGAATATCTAATGACAATCATAGTATTAATGAAAATAGATTTTTAAACAAAAAGGAAACAAATCAAAAATGACTTGTGGAAAATTAAAAAGAAAAAAAAAGTAGTTTTGTAATATTACAAATTCCACTACTATCAAATGAATTATATACATGAAACATCTCTTTGAACTTATACATGAATATAGATAAAATTGTCCTTTGAATAAGAATTGTAATAATAGGCAATTGTATGTTCATTTGGTAGAAAGAAGCAATTTTGTACTTTTTTCAGATGCATGGCATTCAAAGTGAAAAATAAAGCATCATGATATAGATTATTCATTATAGAAAATTTCTGAAGGAATTTTAATTCATAAACAATTAAGAATGATCTGTGTCTCTTATGATAACAATACGAGATGATGATGGTGAAACAGAAGTAGTTGCTTTTTTAGAGACAGAAGGGGAATAAGAAACAGGATTATTATTTGCATGTTCGATTCTGATAGGTCTAGGTGAATTAGTTTGTTTTGATGAAATTGAAGAAACAGGACTACTTGTATTTTCACTTCTGATAGATCTAGGTGAATTAGTCTGCTTTGGTGTAGACAAAGAAGATGATGAAACAGGATTATTTTTCGGGTTTTCGATTTCGGTATGTTTAGGTGATTCATTAATCTGTTTTGGTGCAGATAACAAAAGCCAAGGTTGTTGTTGATAAAAAACAGTTTCTCCCTGAAACAAAAATCATATCAGAGGAAACATGAAAAGGGAAATAAATTCTCACTTTATGTATGAACTGACACGAGTTAACAGAGGAACGTTTGACACATTTTCGTTTATTTTTTCTTCAATTTTAAACTTTAGCTATGCGTATAATTATTCTGCTCTAAAATTATTTCCCATAAACACTGAGTTTCCTTAAGTGATTAACTAGGGCAGAATGTATGACGTGTGATTAGAGCATACTGCTATTCAGTTACAATGTAGCAAGTGGTTAACTTGCTTTGATTGCCATTGGATACTAACCTCATTCCAGCTTATGATAAAACTATTTCCTTAAGTTGTGATAATATGTACGAGCGAATCGAAAATGCGTACGGCACGGTTGCATTTAAGATGGTCTATCGGGAAATTTGGGTTTGTTAGACGTTATTGTTACATATTAGTTTTTTTTATTTCCCTAGTTTGCATGACGAAATTATCTTAGTTAGACGATCACTGAAAATGAGAAAGAACTGGAAAGCTGCTTCGTACAAATACGGGACTCGACGGCCTGCATCTAAGATCTCTGAGGATTTCCAGGTCTCATAGTAAGCGCTTAAGCTTTAGACCACTGAGTCGGCATCTATTGGTTTATACACCTAACTTCAATCTTGTCGCGATATTACCCAACCATCTTACAGTGCCATCAGGGGTTAAATACCTGACACTTGACATGGTTAAACTCTACTTGTCACAGCTTCACAGGAGAATTCCTGAAATTCTCTTTCGGGTTGCTAGCACCTAATGTATTGAGAAGACCAGTGGTAACCTCTCTAAAACCATGTAGAATTCGTGAAAACAATCTTATCTGACGATAATCTTTATCAGAAAACTATACCAATTACACAACTAACAATTCTTTCATACGAACAAAAAACTAGAAATTTTACGTATTACTGAATGTTAAGACAGAGTAGAATCTTTGCCAATTTATTTCGGTTCCTAACAGTAAAATGAAATTCCAAATATTGACAGCCTTTAAGAAAGCATAAATATACAGCAAACGGCAGATTTGTAGGTCACAGGTCACATATTCACCTTAGAAAGCATAACAAATTTGAAAATTCAGATTAAAGATAAAAATGAGTCAAACTAATGACCAAACTCTATTCTATGAGTAGGCATTTCTTAAGATATGATGGGAGTCTATGTCCTAGTATTTAATGCAGTCGAAGATGACAATCACTACTATGGTTAAACATTTTCTCATTTTGGATGAAAGAATTTTTACTAGATTTATATCGGATAACTGTAAATATCAACTTTTGAGTATAACTGAGTTGCGTCGAGAAATGAAATCCAGGATACTTGTTTTATTTTTTCAGGACCTGTCATCTGGATGTACCCACATTCAAGTATTGAAGTTTCCACTCGACCCCAGCACTTAACGCTACAAACACTAAACTACTGAGTTCGGATAGCTATTAACTTTTTTAACGGGTATGAAACTATTTATCAAGTATGATATTCTGTTGGTGATATTCATTATTAAAGGACACTTTTGCAGTGAAGCTATCGTCATATAAAATTAATAGCTACGACTGAAAAGTATATGCTCTACATTCTATTCACCATTATTCGATTAAACTCTGGTATTTTAAAACAATAAGTAAATGAAGCAGACAGAATTACCACACACACTTATGAGTACTCCGACTTTATGAGAACAATCAACATCACATAGAATCACAACGTATTTGGTTTAATTTATGAAAGACTATATCGGATATCCCGAAACGAAAGAATATAGACAATTTTAAAATGTTTCATCCACAAATAATGTGATTGCCGTTTCATAATAACAAGTAATTCTCAGCTATTGACTTTACAACTTACTAATAAATACATTTAACTGGCTTGGCAAAATCATAATAATCTGCTATATTGAACATAGATAACAATAAACTAAATATTCAATTAATTGATAATAACTTACACTAAGTGATTCACGCTGTCTTAACTGTACTTGTAGACGACCCCCTACTACTTTACGACCTTCTTTCAAATCCCCAACATGAGTTACTGTTGCCGATTGGACAAGTCCAGTAAGAGGGATTTCAGTTATACCTAGTACACCCCAGCTTCGAAATATACCACGATTGTAATATACCTGAGAAAAGAATAAAAATGAAAATTTAAATGTTTATTGTTATATTATTTCAACACAACAAGATATTAGTCTAAACGAATTAAAATTATTCATCTATAGGTGATCGTGTATCAAATGACACTTGAATAGCTTTTCAGTTTTGAATTAGCTAATTAAGAGGCAAAGTAAATCATGAAACATGAGTTGTCAAGTTGAATAACATTCTTTTTATGACCTCCCATATTGAACGATACCATAAAAAAATGTGACAAACAAAATTGAAAAGAAAATTTACACTTAAAGAATAAATATAGATCTCATTACATATAATACATATCATCTTGAAAAAAATGTGAAACTGAAGATTCCTGACAATATATTGTCTGGCTTTTCAATTTTTTATAGTTGAAAGCATGAGTCAATTGAAGCTAGACCACCAAGGAAAACCTAGAAGCACTGGAAGGCCGTTTTATCCTATTGTGGGACTCCTCAGTAGGACGAGACGGCCGTCCAGTGCTTACAGGTTTTTCTTGGTGGTCTAGCTTCAATTGATTCATGCTTTCAACTATAAAAATACTAAATCTCCACAAAAACCCCTTCTGATTTCCAATTTTTGTTCATCATAAATAAGTTCTACGATACAGTTAGCAATACATCTCTCAGATAATGAAAATAATCGATTATTTAATTATTTTAGTTAAATTTAGACTAGAATCTGATCAACTAGTTCGTAAGCATAAAATGATCAAAGTAAATGAAACTAAAATATAACTAAATCACAAGAGTAATGATGATGGTTACATTAGCAACTAATAATCAATTTTAATAGAAAACTATTAGCTATTCAATGTTATATCACATTGTATTATTTGAATATACTGAAATGATCATATGTTTATTATTCATATGGTTCAAAACTTTCTATGATTATAATTTTTCACTAAAAATTACTTATTTGATTATTATTATTATTATGTGAGAAATTGTTGTATCCTGAAGAGAATTGTGAATGGTAACTTTTGAGGACTATTTATGGACCAATGTAGTATGTATATTTACTATTGTATAATTGCTAAGTAACTTAACTACGATTTACTATTCCTGATTTATCCCCAGCCTATTAATTACTGTTCCCCCGATTCACAGCCACATTTGGCCAAATCTTGTACAAATGTTATTTTCTATTTTATGGTACGATGTGGTCAGTCCGTTTGGTATATAAACCCAGTATGTTTGAGAATAATGATTCATATTGCAGATGCTGTTATTGGTGTTCTGGACTTAACAGGCTGGGTTAGGCAGAAAGCAGAACCGAGTAGTGCTCAAGACTGCTCATACGGCTTTTGTGTATCATTGGGCGATTAATAAATTCTCTGCTCTCTAATTGGCGGTCTTATAACGTTCATATATATCAAACAGGGCACGTACGCACTCAATCGATATAACAGAAATATTTTCTAGTTATGATCAGTTTTAGAGTTAATTAAAATTACACACATATAAATTGGAATTAGTCATGACCTAATGGAGTAGTATGTATGTTGGATGCCAATGTTATGCCTACGATACAAAAGTAGAATGACGAAATCATGTTTAGTCATCTTTTTAACACTTACTAAACAAAGTATACTACTTACATGTTATCGGTAAGATGATTTACCTGTATAGAGAACTATGAATATGAATTCGTCTGGAAAAACGTTACGATGATGGACATGGGTCATACAATGAAAATTAGAGAATTTTTGGAAGCATAACCATTAAACCAATCAACAGTCAATAAACAAATTGAAATAGACTTAATTTAGGAACCGAAATTAAAAATGACCATTAACTACAAAATTGGAGATCAGTTGTTGAAGGAATAATATTATTGACATAAATATGCACACGGTAATAAAACAAATACGGACAACAGCTAATCAAAATTCATTATAAAAGAACAAGAAGTTAATTAGTTCAGTGAACATTTTAATGAATCGCCTCTGCATTGATGATGCTACTTAGAAAGATAATAAAGGCTTTAAAACTAAATCACTTAGAACAAAGTACACTATACCTTCGAAATCTCACTGCTGAGGAACTAATCTTCCCTATCGTCTAAAGTGAGAGTAACATCAATATCTATGTAAATCAATAGCCAAATACTTATTTATGTACTTGACTTTCACTTAAGCATCTAGTGCATGGGGTAATTGATATTGACCGTTTTTGATACCAAATTATCTGACGTCGAGTTTGATTCAATAGGATCATAGTCAAAAGTAACAAAACTGATCAAGGGGAAAACAAACTTAATAAACATACAAAATATTACATAGAACAATGAAATTTATATGAACATACAATTATAAATTAATACAACAGAAAACCAACTTACTGTTGCTTTTAGACAACGATTATTCTGAACAAATCGTCTATATGAATGACTTTTTGTATTTACACGAAATTCTTTAACTGATTGACTATATATTGGTTCACTATTTGATTTAACTACATTTGTAGATAACTTCATTGGTGGATTAGCATTATTTAAACTGAATTCAACTTCAACATAAGTATCAATATTTGAATAATGTGATGGAAGTGGATAAGCTATACCTTGAATATGACTAACTTCAAGTATATCATCCGCTAATTCAGCATTCAAATTACATTTAGGCAAATGGGCATATTCAAAATATGCGGTTAAATAAGATACATGTTGATTGTATTTAGATAATAATTTCTTGATACATGTATTCACACTGAGTAAGTCAGATAATTTCGATAATACCGACTGTGCATTAGCACCCCCGTTACGACGATGTTGATTAATTAAATTGTTAATTAGTTGTTCTTGTTCCGATAGAATTTCTGAGTATGTTTTAAATAATTGATCACCTATACAGAACATATAAAATTTATCTTGAAATATAGAGTTGTTAAAAAAAGTACTAAGTAACAAAGAGAACATATCAGAATGCTTGAATGTAAAAGTTTGTATTTTCTTGTTGTTAATATTAAGGATTGTAAGTGGTTAGTAACCAATGTAGTCTTTAGCATTAGCAACAGTGAACAATTGGGTGGCTGTTTGGACTCAATATCTCGATGGACAAAATGCTGACATTTAAAGTGAAAGGTATTGGGTTCAAGTCTCGGGGTAGTCACTAATAGTGAGGGGGAGGAACATCTAGTTGACGAGTCCCAAATAGGACGAAATTTGTATCCTAGATTCCGCTGCTAGGCACTATCCAACTTTAGTAAAAAATATTTTGATAGTATTATCACACATAATTTAAGTGATACATACAAATCAACATGAATTTAAATATATTTCGTTACGTATAATTCATATATATATATATATATATATATATATCACTGAATTCGATAGGTTCTACCAATAGTCCTATACGCACTACACATTATGTAACCCTAGAATACAAATTAATAATAGTGTAAGCAACGCTACACCGACAAATTTGTTCTAAAGAATTGCAGTTGCTCGATCAGTTACAACCAACGTACAGCCTTTCAAAATGTGTGCATGGGCAAGGTCTCATAAAACGTTAGCACGACGAGATGAAGTTAACAAGATGGATAGCAAAGGAATCAAAATATTTGTAGTATGACTAGTAGTCAGAAGTGCTAAACAGTTAGAATATGTTCAAGAAGATGAAATATAAAAGTATACACATATGAAGGAAAACTGAACATCTAGAAAGATTAGGAGCGAATGCATCTGAAATGTGTCGGCCAAGAACAACGATGTGTGGGATAAATCTCCAGTGGGCTAAAACGTTACATTTCATATCAATACAGTGGAATAAAACATAAAAGACAAAGAGTAAAGTAGGGATAAAGAATTATCAATTGTAGTGGCCAACGAACGCAATAATGGAACAAAGACTCTAAAATAACATTCACATTTCAACGACAGAGAAAATATAAATACAAATAGATTTTGAGATGTGACTTAAGTGTTTTATTTATACATTACGACTATTCTGAAGATCCCAAATAGAAACCATGTGTTTTCTTACAATGCTCAGTGACTGATTCTTAACATTTTCTTATATACTACCACGCTAACTAGTATTGCACGGTTAGGAGTTGCTGGGTATAAGTCAAACATGTCCCATCTACCTCAGACAATGAGGCGACAGCTTCATCAACTGGTTTATCACCCCTATGTAGTAACCCACATCTAACCTTAATATTACTTGATGGGTAGTTTACCCTGAGTAAGTAATGATTCGAAGACAGCTTCTATCGAATAAGTGAAACATAAGGACGTTTTCTACCTTTAATAGTCAGGTATTTTATATTAATTAAGTGATACAGAGTGAATTGTTGGGCCATTTTTCGTACTTTTACAAACATACAATGATTTTGTCCGCTCTATGGACGAGATACAGTAACAAAAAACGGACGAAATTTCTCAGGGTGGTTAGATTTCACGTACTAACCAGTTACCAACTAAACTGAGTCTATAAGTACGGTGTTCAACGCGCTCAAATACATTTTTCCCCATAATCAAATCTGTCACTGACACTACCTTATCAGTTCTAAAGCAACAGTATGCACTTTGAGGAGAGAAGAAAAGCACTGCAAACATTTTAACATTAGCGTTTAAAGTGTTCAAAAGACTGAATTCTGTCATCCGTATATTGTAAGTAAATGAGAAGGTCAATGGGTAGTAGGTCGCTATTTGAAAAGTGTCGTAAGTAGAAAGAAATGTATCTATGATTAAATTAAATAAAAAAAGCAAAATAATACCAGAAGTATCGAAAGTGTTCAGTAATACTTCTTTAAAAGTCAGTTAAATTTCTCTAAGAAAATATACTATTTGAAAACATTTACCTGATAAAGAATTAAAGGCAACGGCATACTTTACAGGTGGATCACATTTTAATCCACTTAATATAGGTCTAGATGGATTAGAATCAGTAAGAGTAGGTGGCCGTGGTAATTGAGTTAAATCTATTGGCAAGCCAGCTTCAGCAGCTTGTATCATTTGATTCATTCCAAGAACTGATCGTATGTAGGTTTTAGCCAACTCAATATTACCAGATTGTTTTGCAGTTTTAGCGGCTTGTTTCAACTCATCTTGACGTTTAGTTAACAGTTCAACAATTGCTTCGGTTTTATCTTTTATTTGATGATGTCCAGAGCTAGGTTTTGCAGGAGTTGTTTTTGGATCATTGTTAGTTAGTTTTACATCTTTACTTAATTTAGAACGATCAGTAAGTGGAGGATAACCTGGAGGCGGGACCAACTCTTCAAATTCAAACGAAGTAACTCCATGTTCACAAGCTCTCAGTCCTTCATCATACCGTGTGAGGATACGATTGTAACGACGTTTCTTTGAGTCATCGTTGGTTATTTCCTTTAATTTTTCCTTTGACGAAAAGACAGTAAAATCAAGTGAGAAGAAATTCCCATAACATAGTTTACCATGATTTTGTATTACTTAATAATAAGATAATTTGAGCTAATTATTAGTTGTTATTTAGCAGATTCCTCCATAGTTTATCGCGAAATAACTTCAAAGCTGTTAGTCACCATCCTTCTCTGCTTAAACATGCTTGTGATTTAATGGCAATATCGACGCAATCCGCAAAGGACGCACATATATCAAAGGAGACTGATCAACTGCAGTCTTAAGTATCAATGAGAAGATTCAAATAACCAATATATATAAATTAAAATCCACCGCTTCGCACAAGCTAGTGACTATCTGGACTCAGTAGCGGACTGGATAACGCAATGAAGTTTGAAGCAAACGGTACTGAGTTCCAACTCTTCAGTGAATATCAACTCTGAGATGCAGGTATACCCAGCTGACAAGTCCCAAAGAGGAGGAAAAGGGAGTCCTGTATTCTACTGCTAATCACAATCCATCACTGTTCAAATCTATATCTGTTACCTAGTTACTTTTTTATTACTAACCGTTTAACTATTTGGATTATTCGATCCAGTAAACCAATCAAGCTCAGAGATGCAACAACATACATTTTTGTATGTAATGATAGTAATTGTATTTCAAAGGAAGATCTACGTTCCAATAGAATTTCAACCAATGATTTTTATCACCTTTATATGAAATCCTATTATTTTATTTATTTATTTAAACACATATATTGGTACAAAAGGGCACCAGGTACATATGAAACCCTATTAAATTGGCAATAATTATTACCAATCGTTTTTGGTTGACTGTAACGTGAATAATAAGTACGTAATCAACTGACTTCATCAGATTGGTTATTGAATTACATTTTCTTGTTTTAATTAAAATAGAGGTCAATAAGATATTAGATTGACTATTAGTTGGATTATATGTTATATGATAGATTTTACAATATCAGTTGAATTGATTTTTTATAATATAATAATAAGATTTAATATTGACGATATGCACCAGTGAACTTGTGTAAAAACGATAAAAGTATTACACTAGAATATTTTGAAACATACTTTATAGTAGGCTATACGAGCTAAGATATTTTCTGTGCAAACAATAGACGTTTTCATAATATCTGGTACAGTCGATTTTACAGGCTGAGGAATCACATTTTCATTGTTTAGATCCCCTTCATTAGAGAATTCATACTTCGATGGCGGCGGAGGTAAGTCTGTTTCTGGATCGAATGTTTCTTTGCCAGCTTCTATATTCACGATAGCTTCTCCGATACATTTTGATGCTTCTAATAATTCTCTTGCTTTCCCTAGTTGGCCTGTATCACGAGCTTGCAAAGCAGCTAACTTATGTACATAATAACAACAGTATATATGAAAATTACTCACATATCTATCAAATAAATAAATAAATAAAATGCACATCCTTCGAAGACAAAAAGCAAACTGAGTTAGAAATTAAACAGGATAATAATATCGTGAAAGCCATTGCGAATAGTCAATTTTACCACTACTATTATTGTAAGCAACCAATATGTCTAGGACATTGAGGAAGTCTCCCAATTTTTCTCATTCCTCTTTGACCTTACAATTGACCAAATTCTGAAAGTTCTAAAGAGAATGAGCAGTGCTGATGTCATAAAACTAATAATTGAAGAAATAAAACTAGACTTCGTAACTTCACGATATTCGGTCATGAGTGGGCCTCTGAAAGTCAACTACCAGTCACTAACAACACTAGGTGAGTCATCATGGAGCTGAACGATGCGTGTTCAGGCACAGTATATATTATCATTTTCTATCGTTGATATCATTTCGAAACACTGGCTTTGGTGACATAAAAACGTATTGCATGCCGTTAAAGACAAAACCGTACTTCAAGTACGATAAAACTAGTTGATCATTGCAAGGAAATATGTCTACTATGACACCGTATATTTTTCTATAAATATGAACCGAATTCCAAAGACTATTTATAATTTTTTGATAAATTGTCAAAAAAACGTTTGGAAAGATTTTTAACAGACAGTTATTTCAGAGATCACATTATAAGAATTGATAAAGTATCTGAGTCAAGTTTGCTTGATAATCATATATTATTATATGTGTACAGTTGTTTATGAAAACATACATAATAAAAGAGTGAGTACTACACTCAGGATCTTTTTATAAAAACGAAACATGAGAATAGATGACAATGAGATCATTTTGAAAAACCAAACTTTTGAAACACAATCTCAAGTATATTAAAATTTATCTCTAACGACCTAGAATATCATGTTTACACAAAGCACGTAGTGTGCTCATGTTTACACAAAGCACACTACATTTGAGTCCCATAAACAAATTTGATCTAAATTTAACAGAAAACGAATGAGCCTTGTTAAATACACGTAAACTCATGCCAATCTTAACAAACCAATATTTTCCGATATTTACGTTAAAATATTGATCTGTTGTATCGTGCAGTTCTACTAGTGCTATATAAACGTTTAATTTTTTCTGAAATAAATAACAATAAATGTTACATAGGCGGGTATTGTATCTAGAGTTAATCAGTTAGAAAAATAGGTATTTTGACTAAAATGTCAACCACTCAAGACTCAAGTATCAGTAAAATTTTCACTAACTTAACGACAAAACTCACAGAACAGAATAAGTACAGATAGGTTCTTAAACAAATCTATGATTTACATCTACTGAGTCAAACAAAAATCATTCAATGGTATCAGATAGAATACGATTCAAAATTGTGATCCAATGGTTAAAAGAGGAGTTGAAAAATTTAAAGATACACAACACAAATGAGAACATGGAGTCTTAAATAAGTGATTATATAATGAATATACTAAAATGCAATCTAGTATAGAGAGTTCGTGAAAGTCTTCGGATTGCATGGTTTACATCACGAAGGGATATCGGTTGAACCATCGGTAAAAACCTGGAAGCACCGAAAAGGTGTTTTGTACTAGTATGGGACTCTCCAGAAATACATACCCACGACCCCTCCAAGGATCAAATATAGGATCTTCATGTCCCGCAGCGAGGGCTTAACTTTTAAACAGGTAGGTTATCACCTAATAATTTGCATTTCTAACTTCAATCGATTCATAATGCTGCGCAGCCAAGATCAGTCCGTGCTGTAAACTATGAAAATCAATTAAACAAATGAAATCATATGGGAATAGCCGTCAACTATAAGACAATGCTTTGAAAAAAGGAACGAAAACGTATTCCGTCAATCTATATTTAACAACCTGAAATACATACAATAAGTGATATGACAAAAGCACCATGACGTAATACCTGAGTTTTCAAGTGTTTACATTAGGTTTATATGTATTATAACCTGCTTATTTTGCAAATAAATATGAAAAAATTTATTTTTCACTATAGATTTTAAAAGGATGATTAAATGATAGATAATTCATCGTAATTTTGTACAAAATGTATCTACCTAGAAAGTAAACATAATTTATTTCGACAAATCAATACTTTAAGTTTGCAAACAACATATAAGAATCCTGTATTTTTTTACAAAATTCATCTTAACTTCATGGTTTATGATTGATTAATTAATGAGTAGTAACCAAAGTTACGTTTTTTCAGTCCTTTTTAGTCCTAATCGAATCCTATCAATCGAGTTGCAATGTGACCACTAGTCTGAGCGACTCGAAACTATAGATCACATTGAAATGTTAGGCTGTCCACTACATTTCAACACATCTGACATAAATTCACACTTATTAATATTGGTATGTAGTCATTAGCTTAATGTACGGATTTCTAATATTCACAAACTCATGATAAATTGAAAGATTTTACCATTAATTTTGTGCGTCTTTTTTACATGAGGTACTCAAGATATTTCTACAACGATTCTGAAAAAATCTACATTATATAAAAAAATGAAGTTGAATCTATTGTTTTATGAATTTCACTAATCAATAGAAATACGGAATGTTGAACTTTATGACAACTTAAGAAAAACAATCGGATTCTATTCGAATGTTCAAAAGAGCTTTTTTGAAAAGAAATCTAACATAGTTCAAAGAGGGTAAATGGATGATGTTCTCAAAAAAAGAGGGAAACTCACTTTGTATTCTTTATGACGGTTTTTCAATAAATCTAAACCAGAATTAGAAGTCTTTGGATTGATATAATCCAATACAGCTTGACGAATATCAGGTTTTGCATCAGAGGCAGTCGATTTTAAAGTACTTCCTGAACTATTTCCCAAAGCATTATTGTTTGAAGATGCCTTTGTCCGTCGTTAATTAGAAATTTTTTAATTGTAAATAATAATAAAATGCAATTTCAAAAAACAAAATTTAAAGTTCAGTAAAAGGGAAATTAAAACAGTACTTATAAACAAATTAATAACTAGTTGTGGAAGTATTAAAAGCCTAGAAGCATTAAAAGAAAACTTGTTTTTAGAATATATGGATCGTGATTTGCAGTGGTATTCGGGACGAGAATTTCTCCCTATTTGGGACTCACCCGAACCATGAATCTGGATTCAAAGTACGAGTCTCAAATAGAACATGACGCAAGACCAAAATCCCACTTCTAATCACAGTCCATCTATTCTAAAAAATTGTAGTACGTGATATGCTCATGATCTATATATGCCAACTGAAAGTGATCGAAATTCAGTCCTGAATATTAATAATAGAATAATTCAAATCCTATCTAGTATTAACGTAATCAGCAGCTTTCTTCTTAGTCTAAAACTTCTCAATAGTAAGCACCATCATAAACACCTACTCACGTAATGGAAGCCAGAACTTTTTAGATATTTCGAGAACAGAATTTATGTAAATTAATCACTTCCATACGAGTTAAAAATCTTGTGCAGAAACCAATGATACTATCTGGTTTCGTTATAAGCAACAGTAACTAAAGTAAGTATCAATTTGCAGCTATTCGTCGGTTTAAGGTTAAAGAAGTCGAAAAACAATGATTTGACGCGTCATGAGATTGTGTAATAATTAACATTATTTTTCACGATTTATCCAACTTTTTCCTCATACCAGTTCTTCTTTCTGCACATGTTAAAACTGCTACAACTGGTCTTTCACAGAACAAGTCTCGAAACAAACCTCCAAGTCTCAACGTCTTCTGGGTTGTATAATTCGTAACCTATATAATAACGAGTCACGTATTTTAATGTACAGTGTATTTTTCAACCATTTCCAGAATATTCCTCTTTTATAATTAGTAGTGTTCGCATAAAGGATAAATTGTTTTCGGGACTGACTGTATCTTAAATTGTAAATGGAGATCTAATAAACTCCGACTTGACCCTTTATGAATGAGAAGACTCAAAATAGATCTAATTTTTTCTTCAAAATACATAATACACTATCTCATTCTATGAAGTAATTCAATATACAGAAACTCTTAGTTACGGCTTCCGTTATTAGTGAAACAATCACATTCTAAATCCTAACTCCATGTGAATTACTTTGCCAGAAAACTTTCCAGACTCTGATATAATTTTCCGAAATAAAATCACTCTCGTCCTTTGTTCACTGTATCGATGCTTATTTCTCCTCTGAAAATGCTTTAAATGTTCTTATATTCCGTTTCACAAGTGAGATTACAGGAACTTTAAAAGTTTAGTCGTTTTTATTACTAAGGTCACCAGTAAAACCTCCCTGCCTGTTGTTACTTTACACTAATACCGACCCTGATAACCTTAACTAATTTTAATAATATCTAATACGAATAGATTATAAAGTGACCTCGTACATGTATTATGGTAGACCTGACTGACCTATTGTAGTAAATATTGCTTTTGTTTTTCTGAGCTCGTTGTTTCCGTCTTATTTTCTCTGGTTGTAGATGACTATAATCAATTTGTTATGGAGCAGGAGATAATATTAAATACTCCGTTAATATATCAACAGGAAATCCAATTAGAAAAAACTAAAGGTTCCCAGCTGACTCCCTTCACTGCTGTAATATGTATGGAAAATGTACTATCTGAACAACTTTTGAACTAGAATACTTCAAATAATCTAGTCACATATATATCATCTACGTTTAATATTACTATCTACATCAAGCTGATCATGGCTGTAGACTGGCATGAATTCCGTAATAATTATTTTCAGAATATATTATTGTTATTAATCTCTGGATTTCAATTTGAAAAGTTCCCCTGTAAAATTATATATATATATAGAAGTATGGTAATAACCTTTGGATTTGTCATCGAACCACTGTTGGATGTACTACTAGTATTCATCTTTTGATCACCAAAAATATCTCCTTCGTTGATCTCTAATTCATCCATCTTATTAGCTCTATTCGATACAGGTGATTTCCCACTTTCCATTGATTTTACTAGTTCAGCAAGTACCAATTCGTCGTCTTCATCACAATTTGTTCCATCCTATCAAAGAACAAAATATACGTATATGTATAAACAAAATATCACATTTTCATAAATTCTGAACATTTTGTCGCCAAGTCATCTGTTATTGTGTAACAGTTTTATATAATTTACAAACAGCGAACAATCAAACAACCGCATTCTGAACTAGTATAAAGCCCAACATTCATGTGTCATAGGTAAATCATCAGAGCAAATTCTCGTAAACCAATTCACTATGAACAATGAACAAGGACAGGGTTTTTTTCTTAAGCTCAATTAATTCAGAATTAAAAAGTGAACACGGATTACAAAACTTATTAGGCCTAAAGAAGGATCCTTACAAAGGAACAGGCATTTCAAACAGATATATTTATAACCTAATATGGCGAACAAGAACTGAGCCTGTTAATCACATCTAAACTTCAATCTTGAATGAGTGGCCTAAACATTTTATATCATTCTACCACTAATGTGTTGAATGACGTTCAATCGTTAATTCTGTTGTATGTAGTATATACCAATATCATTTACTGAATGCGATTTCAATAATTAGTTGACCTATGAATTTTAAATATGACCGAGTATGGATCGGCAACAGTGTTGTATTTTTGATGAAATATAAAACGCACGACAGAGAAATTTACGAAAACGTGAACGTTTCTTTGATATGATACCCTCGTCTTCCTCTGCATTTAAATCCTAATAATTATGACGCGATTGTATATACCTAATCTATAAATGACCGGTATATCAACTTTGCCCTTGAAATTATGTATGTACATATGTACATATATATCTCAACAGTGAGCAGAGCAAAGCTTTTGTTAAGTGTATGAAACAGTTCTTTTACAAAGATTTCTAACCAATAAAAATGCAACTCCTATTTTGTATATTCACATGAAGCCAAAAGCTAAAGCATGATAACTACCTTTGAATTCGTTGACAGACCACTGTTTCTTGAAGGATTCATCAACAACGATCCAAAATTACTTTCTTCGAACCCCGGTTTTTGATGGGGCAACTTGGAAGTACTACCAGTACTTGTATTATGATTGCCAAAAATATCTCCGTTGATGTTTAGCTCATCCATTTTATTAGCTCTGTTCGATACAGGTGACTTTCCGCTTTCCATTGATTCTATTAGTTCAGCAAGTAACAATTCGTCATCTTTATCACAGTTTTTTTCATTCTATAAAAGCGCAAGAAGTGCATTAAACGTATAACTCTACACGTAAAATAAGTGACTTCACATTGTTTAAACATTTTTGAGGCTATTACAGGTAGTTGTAAAAGGAAAATAATTTGAACCTTCTGAATAAAGATACAACGGTAGGTTTTCTTGATGTTCTATTAATTTACAGACTTTCAGTCAAAGAAATAGAACTACGGTAACTGTGAATTTTATAGTACAAATTAGTTTTAGAAAGCTTTGTTTAAAAAAAGGGAGGACATGAACTTAACACTATCGAGCTTATAAATTTTCTTACTCCCATCAACTTCAGACAACAGTAATCTTAAATAGTTTGAAGCAATGAGCAACTGTGGAAACCGGAAATCGTTTTAAGATTTACACTGCCTACTATCATTAATTTTATGATCAACATACTTTGAGTGTGATGGTGATACACAGGATGTAATCCAAAAACAATACAACAGTAACTTAGACGTTCTCAGAGCACTAAATTCTACACATTGGTTAACAAGCTCAAAGCAAACTACACACTTGGATTCAGCCTGTGAGTACTATCTTTTACACTTACATAGTGTTTGTGAATTATAGATGAGAACAAATACATGTTTAGGCTAAAAAGTTGTACTAATTCATTTCTAAAATTCGAAATTATAAGAATATTCATCTGATATTCAAGTAAGGAATGTTCTTATGAATGTTTTTTTCAAGTTATTTTACAAAATATGAGGGATAAATATAACGGCCATATTTGACGTCTCATGATAGTAGGTATGACTATCATTCAAATATGACAAAAGGGATTGAGCTGGATCAATAGGCATAAAAATGTACTTCAGTCAGTCATAAAGTAGAATCTGGTATACAATTCGATTTACAAAACTAAACACAAAATTTAGCAAGTAAATATCGCCTTGTTGACCTTATAAATATTCAGTCAGTTAGTCAATAACTCGCAATGTAAAACCTAGTACGTATGTACATCAGTTCAAGTTGCTATACCTCATTAGCACAAAGAGATAAAGTTGTTAGGTCAAATCCGTGAACAGTACAAGTAGTTATAGTATCAGTGGTAACGGAAAAAAGTCAAGCATCGAAGATACGATGGAGGTAGATGGTGGTTAGTCATACGTAAAACATGCTCTAACCACCTCAGTTGATGGAGATTTACCAATTCATCAATTGATTTCCCATCTATACCTAGTACTCTACTGCTAACTCAGGCGCAGCTTACTCAGTGGTCCGAAATACACAAGCAATGCTTCAAAGACACTTATGATCGAATACTAGTAGCCTATGGACATCGTCTACTCTTAATGGGCATGCTGCACAACCATAAAGTAAAAGCAGATGGATATTTAGCCTACACCATAGGTTATGCAAGTTAGCAAATGACAGCCGAGCCTTCCGAATCCGTACAGAGATTTCGTCACACATCAGACCATCAATACTGATGAGACTCACAAAATAAGCAAAGTGGTCGATGCATTCAGGCCACATCATTAATTCAGGCGATGGCTCAAGTCAATCCTGAAGTAACATTTAGCATTTTGAGGAAGAGAACCGCATCCCAAACATGGTTGCATTGTTGCTTAAGGGGATCAGAAAAGTGCATTTCGTCAGCAACTTCAAACAGAACTATATCATCCGCGTATTCTCGACCGTTGCTGCTACCTTGACGCGGTGGTCGGGCTTGCCTATCATGATCCCATGGATTTCCATCTCCGGAGGTAAGGTCCTTTAAAGAACGGAGCTAACACAAAAACTACCCACAAAAAGGTCGTGTGTGACCGACCTCAAGCAGTTGTCCCTTGGGCACTGCGGTCACGCTCTCAGGTCATTAAGACCACTTCTAACCTAATTTCCTTTTCAGGTACCTCTAGAAGAACCCTTCCACGGTGTGGGCAACTGGAAAGTGATAACTGCTCTCATATCTCTAACGGCACTCAAGACCACTGTATTCATAATCAATCTCCTTCTTCAACTCCTACTATTCCTTCTACCTTGACTTTCAACACTAAACTTCCTCTTTCGGTTTCCTCCTCAAGTGTCACCATGGCCAACGATTCTAGTGCGCGAAACACTGTCCCAGATCTACTAAAATCTCGCTCCAAACTACACATTGGAGCCTTCAACGTACGTACCCTAAGTCAAATAGGTCAACAGGCCTCCTTGGCTAGAATCTCGTACCATCGATGTATGCTGTGTCTCCGAAACACGCATACAGGATCCCAGTGTGGTCATTCGCTTGACCTCACCTCGCCAAAATGGAGAGCCAACGAAATACACCCTCCGTGTATCAGGCGACCCCATGACTAGTTCTCGTGGACTTGCAGGTGTAGGCATAGCACCTAGTACGACGGCAGAACAGGCACTACTAGAATAAATCCCCGTTAACAGTCGCCTGTGTGCTGTCCGGCTGAATGGCTCCGTAAGAACTCGGAAGGACAGGAACACACGTCGTTGCCTTTTCGTCGTTTCTGCCTACGCTCCCGACTGCAGCCATGATGAAGTGAAAAATGACTTTTGAAGAAAGCTCTCTGAGCTTCTTCAGAAAGCTAAGCGCTCAGACATAGTAGTCGTAGCGGGTGACTTTAATGCCCAGGTAGGCAGCTTAAATCAAACACAAAGACATTTAGGTGGGTATTTTAGTATTCCGGCTCAAAGAACCGATAATGGTGATCGTCTGTTGCAACTATGCTGAGACAATCGTTGAGGTAGAAGGAATAGTAGGAAGTGAAGAAGGAGACAGATTATGAATACAGTGGTTTTGAGTGCTGCTAGAGGTATGAGGGCAGTTTATTTATTTTATTTTATTTAAACACATATATATTGGTACAAAAGGGCACCAGGTACATATGCGCCACACAAAATAATGAAAGTAGGTAGATAAAGGATGAAAAGATAAGGCGGGCTGAAATGTACAACCAGAAGATTCTTTCAGTTAGGAAAGTTAGAACCATTCTTTATGTAGAAAGTAAAAGAAGGTTGCAGCAGGATCGCCACTGGCTTCTATTCTGAGCCATATCCGATAACGTCTCTAGCCACTGTGTTGCACTATCTCTCGGACCCCAACCAGGGAGTCGTGAAGGACCAACGGAAGCTAGCCCTTTGCAGCTCTCTTTCATGCCACGACACCATGTCATACACTGACCTCCTCTCCGCTTTCTCCAACCAGTCCCAGGGTCGGCAAATAATGCACGACGTGGAAGTCTCTGGGACGACATTCGTAAAACATGTCCGAGCCACCGAAGTCGGTGTTTCAAGATGGTGACACCAATTGAATTATCGTCTCTGCGCCCGAACACACGATGCCGAACCTCTGCATTACTAACATGGTGTTGCCACTGGATGTCAGCAATCCTTCGGAGACAACGATGATCGAACACAGAGAGACGTCTAACATCCTCAACTCGGAGAGGCCAGGTTTCACAAGCATAGAGCAAAACTGCTCTCACCGACGCGTTGTAGATCCGACCTTTTACAGCCAGACTAACATCACGAAGGCGCCAAAGATGGCCCAGATTGGCATAAGCCGCTCTGGCTTTCATTATACGTGCATCAATCTCATCACTCACGCCACCACCAGCACTTATATAGCTACCTAGATACACGAACTTCTCAACTACTTCGATCTGCTCACCATCCAGGGTGAGTACAGGATGAGAATCCTGCCAGTCTTGTAGAAGTACTTTGCACTTGGAGGGTGCAAAGCACATGCCGTACCTGCGGACACTGATTGCCAACTGATTAAGTGCTGATTGCATGCCTTGGGCATTATCGCACAGTAAGACAATATCATCCGCATACTCGAGGTCGAGAAGTCGTTCTCCAGGCAACATATCCACACCGCCATTACTTACATCCATCAGAGCTGTTTCTAGGATGAGGGCAGTTATCACTTTCCGGTTTCCCACACCGTGGAAGGGTTCTTCTAGAGGTACCTGAAAAGGAAATTGGGTTAGAAGTGGTCTTAATGACCTGAGAGCGTGACCGCAGTGCCCAAGGGACAACTGCTTGAGGTCGGTCACACACGACCTTTTTGTGGGTAGTTTTTGTGTTAGCTCCGTTCTTTAAAGGACCTTACCTCCGGAGATGGAAATACATGGGATAAGGTGAGGTGTGCATTTTTAGGGTCGACCTTTTCTAACCCCATCCCTCCTTGTAGGAAGGCAGCACTGCTGTCATGCTGGTTGTCTGAAGGAAACACCTTACTGCTGTCACACCTCTGTACAGTCAGCAGTACGACTTTGCCTTCAGACCTTGGGTTTGCTGCTTTTAGTCTTACTGCTCTTCAACCGACCTGTCTGGCATGGTAGGGCCTTGAGGAACGATTGTTCTAGCCAGTATAGCTCGACTGGTTCATCATGATAGGCAAGCCCGACCACCGAGTCAAGGTAGCAGCAACGGTCGGGACTCTTCTTGATAAAAACAATTCGTTTGCTGAGCTTTAAGCGATTAAACCAATTGTGTTGTACATAATCTTTGATCACACCAATCATACTTACCTGATCAAAAGACGAAGGTTCATTGGGAATCTCAAGGCTTGGATCATCATGCAATAAATCAAGTAATTCCTGTTCAAGATCTTCACTACTGAAGTCGACATCATCGATATTGTCAGGATTGAAAGTAGTGTCCTTTGACTGAAGTTTCTTAGATTTCCACTGCATTACGAAATACGGATTCAAAGAATCTTCTGCCACTTATAAGCAATCTGATTTATCTTATTGTTTAAAAATAGAATGTAAACCTCAAAGTCTTTTATTGATGTACAAAATATGGAAGTAGCACAGTTTCAGTTCAAAGTAATGATCTGCATAACAAATAGGAAAGAAACTTTAAAAATTTCATTTTAAATAGTGGGCATCAACCAATCAAAATACCAAGCAAGTAATGTTTTTTGCTTCAGCATCCCTTATATATTCAGCGTCAAGTTTAGAGTACTTCTAGACAAATACTCAAATATAACAATTATAGAGAAACGGTAACTGTGTGACGTAACCCTAACATTCATATTACATCGCAAAACTCAGTAAAACGTTAGCCACAAAATTATTCTGGCAACTTATTTAGTGAGAAAAGATAATAATCATATTCAATAAACATGACAATAAACAGGTTTGTGTTCTGCTAATCTTGGCTTACATTGGACATCTGGGTAGTGTTACTAGCATTCCTAGTCTCACCGTTAAAAAACTGTAACTTCATTAGTCATATAAAATGGAGTCTCCTTATAGTGCCTGTGGGAGAGTTAGATGGACGAAGACACTCTAAAATCTAAAGTTCAAACAGATTCAACATCAAATAGGTAAGAATAGAGAGAGAAATGTACTGACCAGGCATACAGGTGTTAGAGTACGCGGATACCTTGTGGTACTAAAAACTAGTTAATTACTTGTTTGAGTTCAATATTTGATTATTTAAATAGTCCCATGACAAATCCCAAATTTAAAAGCGAGTACAAAACAAGCATGCAATAAAATATTTATGGAATTTTAGTCTGAGAACGATAAACGGGAATTAAAAGCAATATCAACTGTCACGACTACTACCTAACTGTATAATGCACATAATTTTCATTTCATTTATGAACTTTTCCAAGATTTTTTCTCGATCTGATATATTACCATTTACCAACAGTAATCGACCTAGTTAGACGAAACGATAACGGTCAAATGAAAGATTGTTCTCAAGTCGTGATCGTAAATCTAAGAAAACGTAGTATGCGTTCTACACCTAAAACTGAACTAACAAATTTACGACAGATGAGCCCCTAGATTTCAGCGACCATGAGTGAAATGGTTGAATATGGGTATTATTTCAGTGAACAATGGAATTACACCAATTGTGGTTGATTTCTGAGACGGATAATCTCTGTATGGGCATTCAAATCTATAAAGGAATGGCTTACAATATGGAAGTTCTGGGAATTCAAAAATTATCCAGAGAATTGCAACGTGATACCTAAAATATCCGGATGTTTGTTAACGTATTAGTACTGAACAGCTGCTCACTCTGGACTACAGCAATACGAGGCGTGACTCAGGAAAATTCTAAGAGACATCTTTGATTATATTGGACAGATAATTTTGCAACTCTCTTATCTAACTAGTATGAACAGCTTATGACTGACTTATAAGTCAGTCACAAACTGGAGATTTTATGAAATCTCCAAGTTCCTGAAACCTTATAAGCCAGTAAGTTGATGAGACTGTGATGACCGGCAAGGAATTGAAGATTTATGTAGCATAAATTAGTAAACACAGATCATACGCCTACATTTGGAGTTATGATAACGAATGCCACCAAATGTAACGCACACATAAAATCAACCGCTCCACCTTAGCGATAACTTTATTACTATAAACATTATTGTAATTTTTTAAAACTACGTTGATGCAGTAGTGAGTTTGTCAAAAGACAAAAAAGCTGTTGAGGTTGACAACTTCCGTGTCTCTAGAGATGTACTCGTTTCCTCTTCTACCACAATCAGATTTAAGTATAGGGGTCGCGTGAACTGAGTTATTCCACGCTATCAAATTCTTTGAATACGTCGAATGGTTCTGGTTGGAGTGGGAAAAGCTTTCGCTTGACAAACATCCATATCTAGCAGCAGTGGATCACCAGCGCCTATAGAAAGGGACATAGATATATTTGACGGTAAGAGAGAAATATCAGTGAAGTATAGTGAGATACCGTCCTCAGTCCTTTAAAGCATGTCATATTTTCCCATGAACGACCCATGAGAAGTCTCTCGGACCACCTCAACTAGCAGTGAATTCCAGAATTTGACTATTTACAAAGAGTAAAGGGTGCGTGTATCGTCCATTCTGCAATTTGGTGACCTTAACTTCTGAGTATTATCCCTAAGGTTTGCGTTGCAACCGAGTCTAAGCAGGTGTTTGATCGGATGGCCAGGACAGTTTTGGATGATTTAAGTCATTTAAAATTTAGTTCGGGGATGTCTGTACTCTAAAGAGTAAGAATTTAGTTACCTGAGACGATCTTTATGAGGTTTGAATTTGAGTCCTCGAACTGGTTCTTGGCTCGCCTTTGGATATGTCCCACTGTATTCTTATCCTTTTGGAGTGAGGGAACCAATAATATATTTTTTGTTCGAAATAAAGCCGAACAAAACCTATTCAGATTAAAGAGGAAGCTCTATTGTCAAACTGGCCTAAAATGCACCTCAACGTTACCAGTGCAATGTTCGCTTCTAAAGACTATTCTATCTCAGTTAACGTAACACATAAGATCATTGGGTAATGACATCTAGATTGTTTGTAACTTAGGAAACATCTGAATAAAAGTTACCCAAATTGTATGCGTAGACTGAAGCATGTCTCAGATGTGCTACTTTACAGTTCGAAATGTTGAAAGTGAGTCTTTCGTTATTCACTGAACTTTTATGACGAGTCGGATCCTCATGAAATGCCAGCTTATCATCTTCGTTACAACCTTCTCTGCAAGATTTCATGACATCAGAGAGAAGAAAAATAACCATGCGATACTTGCTAAGTAAGGTCATTTATGTAAACCAAGAAAATGATAGGTCTGATTATTGAACCCTGAGGGACCTCACTGGGACATTCTGTCGCCTGAGGAAAAGTAAGGTTTGTGCTGATCCTAAACGGTCGATTCCTTAGATATGGAGTAAGACAATCTAGTAATGGTGAATTGGTGGCTAATCGTTTGAGCTTATTGCTGAGAAATTTATGATGGACCGTATCAAAGCTTTTAAGAAGTCAAGTTATATGACATCAACCTACTTCCTGAGATCAAAAATGGTTGTCCGTCTTTCTGCCATTGTAAGTATATCGACTATAAGCAGCGACCCTTCTTGAAGTTGTGCTGTTGGGATGAACTATTTGTGGATAATAAGTGGTCACACAGATCATGGTTTGTCTGGGACACCATAACTTCTGCGGTTATTGAGACAAGTGCCGTCTGCATTGGTTTCCTTTATTACTGAGTGTGAAGTACGCCAGGTTCCAGTTTTCTCGATCCTGGCATTGGCTAAGAAAAAGGGAACGTCGCAATAGTCAATTTTGTGAAGACTGATGCGAATTCTCCGAGTGTTGCAGAACTACCCATATCCGGACCAGGAGAAATGTCTTTCTTTGGATGTTGCAGTATCTGATAGACCAATTCAGTGTTCAGGTTCAATTCTGAGAGTCTTGTCGAGTTAAAGGTGAGGCTCTCGACAATGTATTTTCTGTGGGACGGTTGAGGTGTTCAAAAATACTACTCTCCGAGAAGGTCGGAGGCATTACCGACGTCCGTTTCAGCCGGGTGATTGCGCGTGTCTAAACTAACATAAACAATTATTCAGTGTCTAAAACTTACTTAGTTTGAGAGCTGCAGCTGACACATCCATCTGTTTGAAATTCCCAAGCCCGCTGGTGGTGAGACTTCTTACCTCAGTTTTGCTGATAAAACTTGAACCTATAAAAGCCTGATCCCTTCTTCTCAGGGGAGCGAGAATAAAAAGGTTGTTAACCAAGAATTCTTCGTCTGTCTAAAGGAAACTGTGTTTAATATTATTTCCGGCTCTTGTTCCGTGATTTGAGATACCCGGTTGTTTCATACATTCCTATCGGATAAGTCTAATTAACGTTACTAAGTTCACGTGACTGATCCTCTTTGCTCAATAAATTAGCTGAGTTCGTATAAAGGCAGTTAATATTTTCGAGTTGAACCACGTGAGCTCCCTCTTTCCGTTTGTTCGAATGAGGCCTGTAGGGCCAGTGAAATGTCATTGAGTCCTAGACAAATCATCCAACAGTTGGGTCACTGAACATCGAACAGATCATCGATCCCCGTCAAGGACAACCAAAGCGCATCAGTTACTCGTATACCATTGACTAGCCTATGCAGTGGTAGCCTCGCTACCTTCTCTATACTCATTATTACTAATATATTTCCGTAATGACATCCCTTATGTTGTACGGTCTTCGAGGAATCCATATTACCCTTATGCAACGAAGGGGTAATCCACGTTAGGTGCGGATCGCTAGGTGTGACTTCGAAGTCAGCTGATTCGTCACACAATTTCCGTCTAGATCGAGTAGGCTCCCAATCATTTTACACCGATCAGCTATATTGGCGATTCTACAATCCTTATGTGAATGAACAGGCAACCTAAATACACAGAGTTTACATATTGAATAATCCATATACCTTTTGTATATTCTTCTTGTTCCTAACAGTCCACAAGTGGAATAGTCGGCTTGCTTTTGTGTTTAATCCAGACATAATGTAGCTTTTCCAAGCACATGAGGATTCCGTTGGTTAACCAGCGTCTGTTGACTTCATATACTTTGAGAGCTACGTCTGACATTTGAGAGGATTTAAAGGTCTTCTTCATTAGCATTAGCCTAGAGTCCTGCCATTCTTAACTAATCGAACCACTTGCTTAGTCATTATGTTCCTAAGTTTCACGGACTGCTTTATGAACTTCCACTTCATAATGTCACAGTCTGCATAACGGGGTACTAGTGGATAGTTTAGGTGCAGAAATGGTGAGATACAACCATATCTTTGAGTTTGTTATCCTTCTATAGTAGAACAATCTTTATGAGCTAGTTTGATGTCACACCAGTTTTTGCTCATAGGTTGACTTGGTCTTTCCCATCAACGCACTCTACACATTTCAAATCTCAGAGCTAACGAACCTGAAATGTCCGGAGAATGTTTCTTCACACGCGAAATGAGTCTCTTAACTCCCACTGTTATTGGAAGACCACAGCTATTAGGTCAGTATGGTGTCATGCATGGAATAAATGAGGATATGTAAGGGCTAAATGTACATTGAAAGATAAACCATGCTCCTTCATCTGACCTGCAAGTCATTTACTGCAAAACATATTTGTCCGAAGCAGGACCTGATAGTAGACTATGTCAAAAAATCCAAACCGGTGCATAATCACAATAACTGAGATGTATCAAACGATCTCTACAGACGCTATCCTCAGTTACATGCATGAACAATAAGTCTTGCAAATAAGATAACTTGTTTTGAACAGAATAGTATGTGTTTGGGTGCATCAAATTCACTATCGTATCTAACAGTGAACATATCTTTCCAATTTATATGAGGAGCATAGAAGTTTCTAGGTATCAAAAACCACGTATTTTTACCCCACAGCCCAATTTACTTTAAGACGAAATCTACAGCCGACCAGATCAAACTAGGATATGTGTTATCCAGTATGGATCAACTGTTGCATCTATGATTACTAAAATCTCAGATTTTTCAGTACAACTTCTATACCTCATTCATAACGCTCCAACCAAACACTGGTAAATCAAGAGACAGAGGTTTGGTTAAAAATGCGGTAAAGTGTAGAGGTAGATATACATATTCGAAGTAGGAACAATATATACACTTGAATAGTTTGGGAACACAAGTTATGCAATCACATTTGTACTCAAAGAAACTGATTCGATCAAATAATCAGAAAATATGTCTTCCGCCAAGCAGAAAACGTTACTATGTAGCTCAAGAGATATTAACAAACAAACCTCGTAACGAAAAATGTTATAAAATACCAAACCCACCACTGAACAGTTCGCTCAGAAGATGAGCTACTGAAATTCTCAACAGCAGTGTACATTTTTGAAAGACAGGACTACTAATTCTAATTCCATAGCGACATCCAAACTGTAAAAATGAAGAGTTAAGCCATTCAATATGACAACCACTAAAGCACAGCGAGTAAATAAACCAAAATCGTAACAGCCAGTGAGAAACCATAAAATGCTAAGGATGCCACAGACGTTCAATGTTTGGTAGTAACTTCACTCGTAACACATTTTTAATCGGACACCAACCCAATCAAATAAAAAGTCAGAAATCAGGGAGTTTGAGGATATATTCGAAGGCTATCGATGTATTGTGAAGCATTTGATGCAGACTGACTATTAATTGCAAAGAATGTGTAGTACTGTTATGCTTGTGGCCGAGTGGATGGCTAGTTGATATGTGACTCGATAGAACCGCCAAACAGAGCGCAGCGAATTATCGGTTGAACAGTGACACGAAACCCGAACGAGCAGACTAGAGTGCTAACCGATCCTGCGATCTGCCTAACCCAGCCAGTTGAGTCCAGAACACAATTTACAGCCTCGGCAATATGGATCCTTATTTACAAACATACTGGGTTTTTATACAACCAAAGTAATCAATAACTGAGTATAACTCAAGAATCGTATGATAATAAATCAAAGATCAAAATAAAGCTCATGATAAGAGAAACACGAATATGAATAGTTTAGTTACGTAACAATTGAAATAACATGCGAATTATGTGAAGAGTCTAAAAACATACTACTTTACATTCGAGATAATTTTTTGGGATATTCCTGTGAATATCCTAACAAGTACAGAGTACCCACTCATGATTTCGTATGGATACGTGACTGAGTATCTTAAGCTAGCACGTCGCCAGTAAAACCTGAAGATGCCACAAGTATTTGGAGTTCGACAACACCTTAACCGGTAACACCTTTACAATCGAAGTGTACCAACCCAACCAATCAGAAAACTGTAATGGTAGAGTTTGAAGATATATTTGATAGACTATCAATATATCGAGTAGTGACTAATGTAGGCTGACTAACGATTGTAGGAGATGTGAATCACGACGTCCCCACTCATGATCTGGTGCGGATTTGTGAATGAGTGCCTTCAAATAAATGATTCCATTAATACCAAGGTGGTCAGCATTAAATGTCGGAAACTTACAGAGCTATTGATTTTAGAAATTCATTTGTCGCTACAACCTTGAGACAAGTGATATTATCACATCTTATGAGTACGTAGCTTAACAGCTCTGAAGTTATATCAAAGTCCTTTATCAACTGAGATCCAGCAGCAACGGCAAGTGGTCTTAATTTATGTACTAATACCCGTGAACGAAAAGCGAGTTTTTCTGATTGCGGAATTTCACCTTCCAGAGAGAAAACATAGGTTTTGTGCTGGCCACCTTATATGACCGTATTATGTGTATCCACTCATTTCTTGGACAAGCTAGTCATACAGGCAGGAAACATTCATGGCCTCAATGAAACCCCGAAAGTAAATAGTTTTGTGAGTCCTCTTCATTGATTTGATCGGACACCCCTGGGTGAAGGCGCTCGAAAAAGCATCACCTTCAGACAGTTTGTGCTCGAAGTCACGGGTCTCCAATAATAATTATTCAGCTTAGATTGTATTTTTCTCAACCCATCAAGCATTTTCAAAATATATGTTTCAACCCCTTCATTTTCGGCTCGTAGTTTAACTGGCTTTGAGACCTTCGGATAAAAGGGTATTACAGACAACAGAGATGCCAAAGGATGCATGTTCGTGACAACACCAGTTGTATTAGCCGATATTTTTAATTTACCTTTACTACGTCATTTTTTTCTTTTATGATGCTAATGTAGGAGATCTATTTAAATGAATGAGAGTCTTTTGGAGCTAAACGATAATTGTATGACCTTCAAACCTACTAGAAGTCACACCTCGCGGTTAACACCGAACGTCAATAACGCTAGATATTGTTTCTTTTCTCCTCGTTATCTCAAGAGCTAGGATGGGCTCGTGATTTTTCAAAACGATATTGTAGACCATCAAAGCTGGTGATCTATGTAAAATGATTGGGAGCCTACTCGATCTAGACGGAAATTGTGTGACGAATCAGCTGACTTCGAAGTCACACCTAGCGATCCGCACCTAACGTGGATTACCCCTTCGTTGCATAAGGGTAATATGGATTCCTCGAAGACCGTACAACATAAGGGATGTCATTACGGAAATATATTAGTAATAATGAGTATAGAGAAGGTAGCGAGGCTACCACTGCATAGGCTAGTCAATGGTATACGAGTAACTGATGCGCTTTGGTTGTCCTTGACGGGGATCGATGATCTGTTCGATGTTCAGTGACATTTCACTGCCTTTACAATACGAACAGCATAGAAGGTGCAATATTACAACTAATGTTCATTCAACTTGTGAGTATATATATAAGTTTATAAACAGTATTCAGTTGCTATAAGCTTTTCGCAGCTACCATACCTTTTCGACCAAATGGTATGTTTGATATGTAAATTCTGTTGCCTATCATTCTTAAAAGACAAACTAGGATGAAAATATCCCAATAACTGCAATAGTATACTTTAATTTTGAGCCTCGCAAAACGTTTAGAACTTCGCTAAAGTGCATGAGTATATGCTGTTAACATATTAACTAATTCAGTTAAAGCAAACCTAATGGAAGTCCTACCATAACATTCACATAGTTCGAAAGAAAAGTGTTATGTAGTTCCGGATGCATCGCCTTATTTCATAAGTAACGTGTGGTTAAGTAGTCAAGAACATATACCTACCCCATACATGTAAGTTTTAAATATAGAGTGGACAGTAATGATGGACTTCATTGCTACTTCCTATCGAAATATCGACTGACGAACCACACAAACACTATAGCGTGTCCTGAACATAGAAAGCCCATAAGGAACTAATTGGCATCCAAATTATTTTAACTAGTGCGCAACATGCCTTCGAAACATTTCTTGGTGAATTAGCCTGAGTTGTTGGAAGACAAACTTAAAAGAACCCGTGGACAACGGAAAACCAATAAATGCCTTTCTTTGAAAAAGGAACACTGGTAATTTAAATGTGTAATAATATTACAAGAGAAATGAGATACCACCAATTGAAATAAGACAAGTGACGTAACAAAGGACTAAAAACGCATAAAAGGAAACAAAATAACAAAGGCACAAAAACAAAGATGAAAGCATAATAAATATCGTAAAATGTCATGGTTAGGTGAATATTGCACATTTATAGCAAGAACAAATGCAGTCATGGTTTTTCGAAAATGGGGATATTGTGTCTATGCTTGGTTGTGGAAAAAAAGTTCAAATTTGAAGTCGGATAAATAAGTTAAACGTTGATGCAAGACACTGTGTAACTGAAATTCATCATTACCTAGTAAAACAAATGGAGAGAATAAAACTTAAGGGATAAGGCCAAAAAACTAACATGCTAAAAATTTAATTTAACAAGTAAACGCAGGCTAATTTGTTCAATCATCTAAAGAAATTAGCTTTCCACACAAATCCGAAGTCATCAACAAAATTTACTCAATAAGTAACAAACTGAATCTTGTACATCCATATCCTCTTCATGTTAGTTTTGACAGATGAGGTTATAGAATCGAACGGATTTTAACAAGAAATCTAAAAATGTACTTTTAGAGGTATTCAACTAATATGTTCTTGTCACTTGTTTAGCAAGGCTACAAGACTCCCTAAATTGAAGTAAATGAAAAAATTCTAAGCCTGATCTAGAGAGTTTTAATTGGGAAGTTAAGTAGCTAATTCATACCTTGATATAAATTAACATTAAAACATGTTTCTAATCGTATCTTGTACATGTACATGGGAGAAAATTCGCTTGGCGACATATACATTCGATTTATCTGAAGATTTAATATACGACTGAACGACAGATATAAATCATTTTATGTTCTTAATAAGCTAATTTTTACCATTAAAATGGTGTTAAGAAGAGAAATGTCAAGCAAAAGAAAGACTTGCAGCTTTCAAAATACTTAAAGGATTAGAGATATTTTTTTATAAACAATCCAAGAAATAGTTAGAAGTACAGTTATATCCTAACAGTTAAATTCTAACTAGCAAATTTCTGATCAACTACATGGCAGAGTGTGGAATAATTGTAAAAATGTGACAGGTTGATTTTAATCGACTTGGAGATAGAGTTAAGATAAGTAATTCGACATACGAGAAAAAAGCACGTTAGACAAAAAAATGAAATAAATAAATACACAAATAAACAACATACCATCCTTACTAACTAACAAATCGACCACAGCCAAAAGAACGGTAAACTTTTGGCCATTAAATAACTTTGAATCAGATGCCATAGAAAATGGATATAACTTATGGTTAACTGTGATCGGACAAGTAAGCTTATTTGATGGTAAAATTTGAACTAGAAGTGCAAGAACGACAGGTGTATTGTTTAGCTGGTCATTTTTATCAGAAAAAGTATCCTCCAGAAGGCCACGATCATAAGACACTTCAATGTTTTGTACGTGATTGGTACTTGTATTAGATACTGATACATCCACATTGGTATAAATTTCAGGTTTGGAATCATCATTAATGAGGAGTAAGTATACAGCTGTAAAGGTGGCATGGCACAATTGACTATCATTTAAGAGATTTGGATGTAGACCGGATAAAGGGAATAAGACAATATTTATTCCATCACCGATTTTAAGTTGGTCTCCAGCAAACAAAACTGGGACTAACTGGAAAAATAAAAATAATAAAAATTGAAAATGTTGTTATATTTATAGTTAAGGTATGGAGAAATATTTTAAAATTCATTAGTACTCTATAAAGTACTAAGCAATATATTTCTCGGTGGCAATCAATCTTCAACATCAAGGATTATGGGGAAATACCTGTATGTTAATCAGTCGTTGAGTAAGTTACGTACGCCTGTTACTCAATAGGCCACCGACCAGCATTCTCCAACCCACTCTGTCCTGAGCTTTCTTTTCTAGTTTATTCTTCTCATATCTGTCTCCAGTTTTCGGCGTGATGTGTTCTTTGGTCTTCCTCTTCTCCCTCGACCTTCAGGATACCCTGTGAGTGCTTGCCTTGTGACGAAGTTGGATGCTTTCTTCAATGTGTGTCCTATCCACCTCCAGAGCTTCTTCCTGATTTCGTCTTCCGCTGGAATCTGGTTTGTTCTCTCCCACAGTAGAATGTTGCTGATAATGTCTGGTCAACAGATCCGAAGTATTTTGCGTGGACAACTGTTAATCAACACATGCATCTTCTGGATGATGGCTTTCATAGTTCTCCAAGTTTCCGCCCCATACAGAAGAACTGTTTCGACACTTGTATTAAGTACCAGATGTCCTTCAGTTGTAAATATGCTGCTCATGATTTGCCGATCCGCAACTTCATATCTGCATCACATCTACCGTGTTCATTATTCGTGTTTTCTTCTCTTGCAGTCTTTTCCACTGTCATAGCTAGATCTTCCATATATTTATGTTTGTCAGTTCTGATGCTACTCTTCACTTGCTTGTTTACTTTTGTGTATTGGGTTTGTGCCTTGGCTTTTTCTGCTCTTGTTCGGCTGATATTGATTGCTGTCTTCTTGTTTCTCCTTTCTTCAATCTTATCCAGTGTGCCAACACTGTTCTATTCCTCTTGATGGTGTTTCTTGTGGCCCATAATCTCATGGCATGTTGAAGTGATTGCCTCTTTTATCCCGTTCTAGTTGCCCCCCACAGTAGTTCCCTCTCCATTGAGTAGATCATGAAAGGCCTGGAACCTGTTGCTGAGGACTATCTTGAATTTGTTGAGTTTGTCAGTATCCCGAAGAAAAACCGTATTAAACTTTTGTGATGTTGTCCGCCCCATTGTCTAGTGCTTCTTAAGTTAAGTTTCATCTTGGCGACCAGCAAATGATGATCTGATGCTATATCAACTCCTCTTCTGGTTCTCACATCCTCCATCGTCCTCCTGAACTTTTTGTTGATGCAGATATGGTCGATTTGATTCTGTGTAGTGTGATCCGGTGAAATTCAAGTGCCTTTGTGTATGTTTTTGTGTGGGAATATGGTGCCACCTCTGACCAGTTTATTGAAGGCACATAGGTTTGCAAATCTCTCACCATTTTCGTTCCTTTCTCCCAGTCCATGTCGTCCCATGACGTCTTCGTATCCAGTGTTGTCCACTCCAACCTTGACAATTAAATCTCCCATCAGAATGGTCAGATCTTTTATTGGACACTTCTCGATGATCGACTGCAGCCTATCGTAGAATTGGTCTTTAAAGTCTGCGTCGTAGTCGTTGGTAGGCGCATAGCATTGGATGATGTTCATTGTAATGCCCTCTTTTTTTGTTTTGAAAGAGTCTTTGATGATCCTGGGTCCATGAGATTTCCATCCTATAAGTGCAACGCCTTGCGCACGTGAGACATTTTCTTCCGCATGGCCGGAGTATGACAGCAGATCCGCTGAAGATAGTCGTTGTTCAACCTGAGTTCTATGTGTTTCACTGATCCCAAGAACCTCCAGGTTGTATCTCCTCATTTCTGTAGCAACTTGTATGACTCTCCCAGTCCCCCACATTGTACGAGCATTCCATGTACCTAAATAAATGGTTGCTCTGGTTGTCAGAGAGGGAATCAGCTTCGTGACTTCCGAAGGAACTTGGTTTTCACCATGAAGCATCATAACCCTTCCAAATGAAGACCTTCTGATTACTAGGGCAGAGTTTAAATGGTTTGAATAATTTTTTTCTGGTTAGAGTGTTTTAGCGGGTTAGTCTTCTAAAAAATGAGTTGATTAATCCCATACCCAACCCTCCTGCTTTATCCAGGCTTGGGACCAGTAGTAACCTCAGAGGGGCTACAGGCGGAGTTCGTCAAGTAAGTGATGCATCAATATTTGAGTTAAGCGGCTATAAAATTATAATTAAAAGACGTGTAGTATTTGGGATTTATATAAATCAAGGATTAATCTTAGGGTACTTTTGAGGACCAGAAAGTACTAAACGGCTAATATATCGTAGTATAAGATACCTCATCGACCACCTTACCTTACCACAGATTAAACTCGAAACTGTTAGATTTTGTAGTGAGCACTTAATCACGAGATGGGAGGGTTGACAACCACTGATATGAATTTCCAACTTTAATCAATTCTCTGCCTAACACGAGGATCATCCAATGCACCGGTGATACCTCTCTCTATCCACCGATAAGCAGTGTCTTAATGGAAGGAAACACCTGTCCGGTTAGAGTACATTAAACAAATTTTTTCAAATCACTCTTTACAACTGAAAAACTAGAGATAATAATTAAACAATAGCGACTCAGTAAGTATGTATCTAAATACGATCACCGATTGCACACTTCTTGATAAGTAATTTTAATAATTTGTACTGATAGCTATTTCAATGTGCATTTTCATACATTTTAACTCTCTCTCTATGTTGAGACATTTGTTCAAAGTGTAATTATTCTTATCACAATTGGTATACTTACCATCAAAATATCAGTGTATTACTTTTAACTTATTATGTTTAGTTGAGTAATTTATTTCAGACTGATAAACTGCCATTATTGATTTGATAATATTTATATATCCATGTACTAATGTTACTGTATATTATACCAAAGCCCGATGAAGATCTAACTGGGGACAACATTTTTTACTAATATATTTTTCTAATCATATACTCTATATGTACTTTTCATGAAAACATGAAAACATAGTCATTATTATTATGATCATTCACTATTAATAGTATTATTATTTATTTATTTTTCAGTTGTACATTTTCTTTTTCATCTTCAAGTACTATATTAACATAATGGTCAAAATCCAAAATTAAAATGATAACTTGCTGTTATTATCTATTCTAAAAGTAACAGTATCACATGGTATTTTACTGGCATAATTATGATTGATGATGTATGGTAAGATCATATGAAATTATTTACACCAATTGATATTTGAACAGAACCGATCTTTCTATTTTATTCAACAACATAATTACACTTTACACCTTATTTCCCAGAAACATGGTAGTTTGTTACTAATTTTAATAGGAAATCTTTAGATAATAATTTTTATTATTATTACTTTACGAATTATTTTCACTGGAGTTATGATAAACTCATTTTCGTGAAATAAAGTTTAAGAGAAAAACATAGTCTAAGTCGTTTTAACATTTTACATTTACTTACTAACTTACGCCTGTTACCCCTCGTGGAGGAGCATAGGTCGCACACCAGCATTTTCCATCCAACCCTGTCACAAACAATCCTTTCTAGTTCTTTCCAGTTAACATTCATCCTTTTCATATCTGCTTCTATTTCTCGGCGTAATGTGTTCTTTGGCCATCCTCTTTTCCGCTTCCCTTCCAGATTCCAAGTAAACGCTTGCCTCGTGTTGCAGTTTGGTGATTTCCTTAATGTATGTTCGATCCACTTCCAACAACTTTTCCCAATTTCCTCTTCAAATGGAAGCTGGTTTGTCCTCTCCTATAAAACGCTGTTGCTGTTAGTATCCGGCCAATGGATGTTGAGTATTTCGCGTAGACCAGTATTTATAAATACTTATACCTTCTTGACGATGGATGTAGTAGTTCTCCACGTTTCAGCTCCGTACAGTAAGACTATCTTGACGTTCGTATTGAAGATTCTCACTTTGAAGTTAGTTGACAGTTGTTTTGAGTTCCATATGTTCTTTAATTGTAGAAATGCTGCCCTTGCTTTGCCAATTTTCGCCTTTACATCTGCATCCGATCCTTCTTGTTGATCAATGATGCTTTCCAGGTATGTGAATGTTTCTACCTCTTCCAGAGTTTCGCCATCAAGTGTGACTGGGTTGGTGTTCTCCATGTTGTATTTGAGAATCTTGCTTTTTCCTTCGTGTATATTGAGGCCTATTGATGCAGAGGCTGTTGCTACATTTGTTGTCTTCGTCTATATGAGATAGGAGAGCTAGGTCATCTGCGAAGTCCAAATCGTCTAATTGATTCTGAGATGTCTATTGTATTCCGTGCTTCCCCTTAAATGTCGACGTCTTCATAATCCAGTCAATCACCAGAAGAAAGAGGAGTGGGGAGAATAGACGGCTTTGTCTGACTTCGGTCCAAAATTTTACAGTGAAGGGTACTAAAACCAACCTCAAACAAATTTTCACTATCCACTAATTTATAATAATTCAATATCATCAGCATAGGGTTGTGGAGACTGTTGAGCTTAATTAAGATCACAAATCGATATTGATAATTATCATGTCCTCACTAATAACTAGCTAAGAGAAGTAAATCTCGGAGTTCTAGTGAGAAACCGTGGCCAGAGGAGTTCTACCGTGTCAGGTATGAGACAGTTACTCACCGAAGACAATGGAGGATGGTCGTGCGATATCGTTTATTGGCTGAAGTTAGACATAAATACCATTGGAAGCCGGCTGATTAGTCTGCGGTTCGGCGTTCGTGCACAAGACAGAAGGTCCCAAGTTCGAGTATCGAGTGCAAGATCGTGGATGAGCACTGTTGAGGAGTACCATACTCATACGAAACGGCCGTCCAGTGCTTCTAGGTTTTTAATGATAGTCTGACATTTATCGGTTCATGGTTCCAATTAGAATTAAATATCAGTTAATGTGGGTTGCGGGAGCGAAAACGATCTAATTGTAGTTAATAAATTTAAATATAAAGTTACTTATAGTGCGAATGAGCAGGTAAAAATGATATTTATAAATCAGGCACTTATTCCGAAACTGTCAATTAAAAGACTGATACAGAATGGGAATCGAAAACTCTAATTATATATATTTTTTTAATAGAATGAAGATACGAACCAATTAATTAAATTATACAGAATACTCACCTTTTGACTAGCTTGAAGACATTTATGAATAATTATTGCACTGTCTTTTACATTTGTCGTTGTTGAGGTTGATGGATTGAAACATCTCATTTGATAATTAGTTTGGATGAATGTATCATCACATTGAACTAGTTCAACTTCAGCTTGACAACATGTTAAATTACAAGTTGTCAAGTCAAACGCTGAATCACATGGGATAACATCAATAAAATTTGAATGTTTACTCGTATTTCCATTGAATAAATTCCGGAAACAGTTTAAATCAGAAGTAATAGCATGCACAAAATCTGGAAAATCAGTGTAAGCAAGTAAATGCCACGGCCACGAAGAAGGTGAACTGTATGAAAAGAAAACAAAATCTTTTACTAACAGATATGTTAATTAGATTAAGAGTAAACGGAAGTCAAAAACTAAAAACTGTTTTATTTTCTTGGACTTCAGTTAAAGTTTACGCGACGCTTACTGATACTAACTCACGGTTGTTCAAAACAAAGCATGTGGAGTAAGGTCCGAGCCCGCTAACCGAACAGTAAAACAATCGACTAATAATATGAAAATCTATATAGAATTTCTAAAAATATGTCAAGGGGCAATTATTAAGATACCTATTGGCTAAAAATTAATCATCAATTCATATGAAAATCATTCTGGTTTGACAGTAAACATCATACACCATGAACATCAATATTCATTATTATATTAAGAATAAGTAAGAATACCTTTGAATTCTCACACACCAATAATATGTGTAAATTTCTTGAAGGTAGCGACATTTAGGTGAAAACTTTGAAAAATATAAAACGAGAATAGGTAAAAACGTGAAAATCTATTAATTAAAAACAGTTAATGATAGGCTTTGTCAACAACTAATACCAATTGATCAAGATGTAGTTATCTTAGAGCCTGAACAATTCAATTAACAACGCTATAAAGATTTGAATTAAAGGATTTGACTTTGAATCACACTGGAAACAACAACAGCAATGATGAACATGTATGTTGTCATATCGAAGAGGATTTGAGCGAAGTTAAACTTCCAGAACTATCAGATGGATCTTTGAATTATTATGGTATAATATTCTCCTATTTGAAAGATTTCGTTTGGTTGACTGTTGCCATATGTCCTACTATCTTGGACTAATCATTATTTAATTATCCTCATATGTCTCCATTTTCGCATCCCTTACGACTGATTTGTATATACATTGCAATTTCATATGTGTTACGGTGAGGCCAAATATTTAACCTATATTATCACACAAGCTTCAAGTTATGAACAGAGTAGAATAAAAAAGACTTCTGCTTGTTAATTCTGCTTCTTGATTGGATACTAGATTCCAAAGAACTTGAGGATCAACAGATGTTAAGGTCTCAGCTATTGTTTGTTGGTCCCTGTGTCATGCGCGAAATAGATCACTGGTCCTACATGTAATATACGCGAGAATACTGATAATAAAACTAGACAAAGCAACTGCTCTCATAATAACAGCCTAGTTACACGGGCTTCAAACCAATCCAGTATTCTGATGTTCTTTTTGGAGAAATGACATATGTACATGAAACGGATACCCTTCAAGCCAGGACAAAATGCGAGCGTTCAATTTCAAACGGATATACAACTTCAAAAACTAATTAAATCAATTTTTTCAATTTATTAATCTATTAGATATTTCATGAATACTTTTGTAAATAACAGTAAAACCAATCGAGGGAAAAATAACAGACTATATATCGTAGGGAAATCTAATCAATTTAAGAATCATTTCGATAGTTGACTTAAGGAACCCATAAAATAACCAGCTAAATGAAGAGATTTGTCAGTCAGCTACATCGTAGGACAAGGCACATATATGCATCGGTCCGAGTTGCCATACCTCATTAGAACAACAAGATGAACACCGAATTGATAGAAGTAATTAATTTAATGGTGGTACTATATAAAACAAAGATTGTATATAAGGATATAACACAAGAAGAAAGAAATAGTTCATGGGAGAAAAAGTATAAAGCAATTTTAATCTTAAGGTTTAAAGAAAGATAAAGAGTGCATACACCTACGACATTGCGATCGATTCTGATTCATGTCACCTAGTCTCCAACCATTGGTTACGATAGTCATGCGGAGTCCAACCAAGTAGTCTGCATCTACCGACTAGAAGTTAGTGACCTTATGAAGTGATGATGAGACATTCTGCTGTGGTCGCCCCTAACGTTTCCCTTCCGTTTCCAACACTAGTCAGCATTGCGCGTCGTGTTAGTCGGTGTTCAGGTATATGTAGCACGTGGCACAATCATCTCAATCGATGAAGATTCACAACCTCATCCAATGTTTTACCATCATTCCCTAATACCCTGTGTCTAATTTCACTATTACTTACCCGGTGATCCCAGCAGATGAGAGCAATGTTTCTGAAACATCCGTGACCAAATACTAGTTACTTACGAGTATCCTCTACTCTTAATGGCCACGTTTAGCAGCCGTAAAGTAAAACGGAGTGAACAGTTGCTCAGTATTCTCTTCCCTTAATTGATAAACGGATATCTCGCCTTCACCATAGGTGACGTAAGTTAACAAGAAGGCAAACGAGCTTTCTGAATTCGTGCAGCGATTTCGTTAAACACCAACCCATTAGGGCTGAACAGACGTCCAAGATAAGTGAAGTTGTTGGCGCGTTCGACCACTTTAAATGCTGCTTTTAAGTCAAGAAAATGTGTCATCGTCGGATGCTTATAAGTATGCCTGTGCTCTTAAATTTGACGAACAGTGAGTATGTAGTCGATGCAGCAGCGACCAGGTCTGAAGCCAGCCTGATTTCTTCGTGTTTCCTGTTCACGAATCTTTGTTAGGCGCCCGATAATTATTGAGGCTAGTATTTAAGGTGTTATATTAGTCAAAATAATCTCTTTATGGTTATCACAGGATGATTTTGACCCCTTCTTATATATTTGGAAAATCAGTGATTGCGACCAGTCAGTTGGGGTTACGTCCAACTTCCAGATTTGAGCTAAAATATTAGTCAGCCTAATCACTAAAAGTGGACCACCATGCTTAAAGACCTCTGGAGCCAATCCATCTAAACAAACTGCTCTTCCTCGTTTCGGATTAGCTGTAGGTTTTTGAACTTCAATTAGAGTGGGGGAACCCATTTTAATCTTCCATTCAGGCTGATTGGAAATAGTGGGTAGTTGTAGAGTAGCTGAAGGCCGGCTGAATTGCTCCTTAAAGTGTTCTGCTTACCTTTCTCAACGTCTAAACTGATAGCAGATAAGAGTGTCGTCTCACTTACACTTGAACTCTTAATTTCGGTTTCTTTTACTAGTCTGAAAAGCTGTCTGGATTTACCTACAGCCGCTACCTTTCCTTTCTCTTTTGCTTTCGTTGCCCACCACTACTCACAATCGTTCCGTAGACTTATGGTTAAGCTAGATCTGATTTGTTTTCACTCTGTATAGTGCTTAGAGCCTGATCGGATGAGTTTACGAGAATCTATCAGTGCAATAGATGTCGCAGAACTCCACTGGTTTTTCGTAACCCTTTGGTTCAAATCACTTATAGATGTCTCTACTGTCTTCACAGCTGTTCTCATATCTTTCCAATCAACATCTGGGTCAGCCTCGTTTCTAAAATTGCCTAAGTTTAACTCCAGTTGTTCCTGAGATTTACTTTCAGTTTTCTCGTCGCTAAGTTCAACTTTAATAGGTTTTCTTAATGTGACTTTTATGCCTCTAATGAGGTACAAGCGAATGCTTGCTCGTATAAGAGCATGATCTGAGTCTAAACATGTATTCCAGAACGAGCGACAGTCTTCTAACGAACATCTTCAACGATGACTGATGGCAATGTGGTCTATTTCAGTCCATCGTTGGTTTGGTGTGGAAGGTCACCATGTTAGACGATGTCTCATGTTTAAAATTGGTGCCTGCTAAAATTCAACGAGTCTGAGCACACTTAAAACAGATGGTCACCATCATCTGTTCGCTGAGCCGAAATACCCATTTCAATGTCTTTCTGATTGGTTTAAGCTACTTAATTGGGCATCAAAGTCACCTGCTACGAGTACTATGTCTGAGTGTTTAGCCTCTTGAAGAAGTTCAGAAAGCTTTCTGTGAAATTCATCTGAGCTGCAGTCAGTGGGAGCGTAGGCAGAAACGACGAAAAGGCAACGACGAGTGTCCCTATCCTTCCAAGTTCTTACGGAGCCGTCTAACCGAACAGCACATAGGCGACTGCTAATAGGGATCCATTCTAAAAGCGTTTGCTCTGAACTCATGTTTAGTGCTATAACTATACCCGTCAGTCCACTAGAGCTTGCCGTCGAGTAGCCAGATAAGCAGAGGGTATATCTCGTCGGCTCCCCGTCTTGGTTTTGTGAGGTTAAGTGTTTTGGATACACAGCATACATCAATGTTATAAGATTCTAGGGTCTTGGCCTAGGAGGGCTGCTGGCCGATCTGACGTAGGGTACGTACGTTTGAGGCTCCAATGTGTAGTTTGGAGAGAGGTTTCAGTAGACCTGAGACAGATTTCGTGCACTAGAGGAGGAAGTCAAAGAAGAATATTTGGAGTTGATAGTCAAGGTACGAGAGGTAATATGAATTAAAGACGGAAACTGATTATGAATACAACGATCTTGAGTACTGTTAGAGGTATGAGGGCGGTTACTGCTTCCCGGTTTCCCACACTGAGGAAGGGTTTTTCTAGAGGTACCTGGTAAGGAAATTGGGTTAGAGGTGGTATAAGTGACCTGAGAGCGTGACCGTAGGGCTCACGGGACAACTGCTTGAGGCCGGTCACACATGATATTGTTGTGAGTAATTTTCATGTTAGATCTGTACTTTTTGAGACTTGACCGTCGGAGACGGATATCCGTGGGATAAAGCGAGGTGCGCATTCTTATGGTTGATCTTTTCTAACCTCACCCTTTCTTTGTGGGAAGACAGCATCGCTGTTATGCTGTTTTTTTTAGGGAAACACCTTACTGCCGTCACACTTCTGTACAGTCAAAAGCATAACCTCGCCCTCGAACCTTGAGTTTGCTGCTTTTAGTCTTACTATTCCTCAACCGACCTGCCTGGCATGGTAGGACCTTGGGGAACGATTGTTCCAGCCAGTATAGCCTAGTTGTTTCATTACGATAGGCAAGTCCGACCACCACGCCAAGGTAGTGGCAACGGTAGAATAATTTAGGAAATAGAAAACTTCAAAAATCTTTGTTTACTAATAGATTAAACATAAAAAGAATTACCAAGGTAAAGTGGTACTGATATTCAAGACATGAACAGGCAACGTGGAAAGAAAACCATGAATTCGACCAATATCAATGAAACTTGAAGAGGAATGTGATTTATGATCATTAGAATTTGATCCAGGTGACTCAAATGGTGAGGTAGAAATTAAATTAAATTCTATTGTTTGTGCATGATGAGTTGGCGTTACAATTGAAGTTGTCGCCAAACTATGCGCAGATAAATTTGAATGATAGCTTCTAGGTAATGTACTGTATTCCTCTGAACAGATTTCACCGAATAAACTGTCATTACGAATAAGTAGAGAAAAAGAGTCGTCTGACTCGTCAACACTTAATTCAGCTGCTTCCGCTTCAAATAATTCAGAATCTTCGAATACAAGGGCGACCAAATTAATTGTTTCGGTTTCAGGTGATAAGCAATCTCGTTTTGACCACCGAAAAGTTCTTGGGGCCATTCCTTACTAAAAAATAACCACAACGAAAAAGGATTGTAACGAGTTATTTCAAGCAAAATTATTCAGAATATCGAAAAACATAATCTAGCAAAAAAGGATGGATGAAACACGGTAGATAAATAACTACATTTAATAGTTATTCATCGGTGTATTAACTTATCTGTTAACAATTTACTGTAGAGTATAACTAAAGGAGCATTGAAAAAATTATCGGAATCGATCAATATAATGACTATGGAGTACCTAATTTCATGATTTCTAATTTGTAGTGTTGACTGAGCGTTATCAACTGAAATACTGACACATTCAATAGACTCGTCCCTGATACTAAATAGGAAGCTTCAGCTAACGTGGATTATGATAAGTCAAGAGTCGGAGGTAAATCAAAGCCGCAGCAAGAGACAGATGCAGTATTCCAACCAGTCGGTTTTAGTTTTAAAAAATTAGATGGCACAGCATATGGTTATGGTTCGATTCCATGTGGACGAGTATATACCCTTCGATTTTCTGCATATACCTTCCTCATCGATCTAAGTAAAAAATGTTTGAGATGTAATGGCGAGTTACTCAATACATAAAAATTTGAGCTTTAAAAAACTCAACACGTAATGTTCGAAATTATAGTTTATGCTACCATAGGAATATATTAGTATGGAGTTTATATATTTGGATATGAAAAGTGAACCTTCTGAAATTTGAGAACAAAATTCTATGTGAGCATTTCAAACAAACACTTCATTGAAGTATAAAATTCAAGTAAAGTGTACATAAAATAATCTTTTATCAACATCTAACGATGTTAAAGTGACAGATCACGAAGTTAAGCGTTTACCAATTTAAATATCACAAGTGATAAACGAAGAATAATACGTGAAAGTATTCCTAGTTTATATCCTGGATGGATCTTAATTTGACAACTACTGAAAAACCAAGAAAAATGAGACAGCTGTTTTGTCTTAATATAAGACCTCTCAGTAGTGAATATTCACGACACCATTGCAGATCAAAACCTAAAACCTCAAGAGCTCAAGTTAGACATGTAAGCTCCCTTAGTGGTCTGGAAATCGAGTGCTCGCTGTGAGGTCTGAATATCCTGAGTTCGATACCAAAAGGGATTGTGGATGAGCACCACTTAGATCTCATAATGTAATGAAACAGGTATTCAGTGCTCTCTGTTTTTTCAATGGCTGTATAAGATTAGTCAGTGGTGTAAGATTCGAAATTCAACAATCTCCACAACTCCCCTAAAGTAATTTGAAAGCACTGTTGATACATCCAAACAAATTATTGAAAAGCTAGTTATCTGAAAATCCAACTGGATTCATCAGGTTAGAACAACATATTACTTGTTTGAAAAGACACCAATTCAGATAAAAGTAAAAAAACAATATATATTCATAGAAATAAAATTTTGGAAAAAACAGAACTCATATTATTATTAGATATTTTAATTCGAAAAGTAATGTAGTACAACGACAATGCTTTTTGACATATCAACTATAATATCCATATAAGAGTGTGAAAATGTGAAGCGACACACATACATATATGATACCGTCCAGTTTCATTGAACAGAATAAAGCATGCTTTGCTTAAAAGAAAGCAGGAAAATAAATAGATAAATAATCCCAAATCAAACTCTTTTTTATCCATCCTGTGACATATGACTGAATTCTCACAAGTAATATAGTCAACTTTTCAAACACCTTTGTAGGTAGAATTAATTCCAAGACTGATTTGTTCTTTAGTACAATGAAATACAGCACTAAGTAATCGAACAAAACCTGTATCCATGGGTTTATCCAAACCGCGTAAGAGTCTATGTCGCATAACACCAACAAATTCACGATAACTTAATTGTCCATCATCTAAAATAACAAAAAGATAAGCGAAAAACTGTGCACTAACAGGACATATTTCGCAATCAAATGAACGTTATTCAAACAGATTTAAAAATGATGATTTTTAAACTTTTCGGAAATATTGCTCTATCATTAATTCACTCTTATTTCGTACAGAAAAAAAACGCAACAATGAGAGAAAACAAATATGAGATAATTTACGAGATAAATTGAATCAACTATTACAAATATTATACTGGACAAAGAGGATGCCTTCTTCAGTTAAGCATACACAAACTATCAGTAAAACGATATATGTTATCACTGAGATCGATGCATCGAAATAGCTATAGACAAAAATTTGAATAGCAAAACGTCAGGATAATGGATCGAGGTCACTCTAGTGATGTCAAATAATTTCTAGAAGCATAGAATTCCGCTCATTGAGTAATCAATAGAAACACTTACTTAGATCCAATCTATTAATCTGTTTGACAAAGGTCAGTCGAGAACATGATTACAGGTCAACAGAACAAGGTAGTCAGCCTAAGCACAAGAACTAGTGAAGGTAATGAAATTTATAAACACAATCAATCACAAACAAGCCCACTAGAACAAAATGATTTAGAACTTGTGAAATAAGTAATAAGCATACTTCTGCATGGTGTAGACAATAGTGATACTTTGATAATTTTTTATTTATTGTCTGAAGAAGTGGCTTACACTGAGTCACGAAATGTCAGAAAAGTTTAATTTTTCTACTCATTGTGATATTACAAATATATTATTTATTTATAATGGTGATACTGTTTAGAAAGACAATGAGAAGTCCGCAATTAAACCATCTAGGTCAGGGAACTCGATAATATCAAAAGATTAGAAAATCAAGGCAATCTTTGAAAATAGGAATTATATGAGAAATGTAGATAGATAAAGAAGATCCAGTTCCAGTAAGCCTAGAACATATAAACTCAGGAAAAATCATACTTCATTAACTGGTATACGGTTATATTTACGTCCACAAACTACTGATTTTAATTTGAATAAGCATACTATCTTGTTACCATTAAAAAGATACTCTATGTATTGTTTAGGGATCTAATACACAAACTACTTAAATAGATATTTGACAAAATATACACGAAATTCACTTACTATTCTCATCGAATAAAGTGAACACAACATCTAAAACATGTGGTGACAAGTGAAGATTAGCGACAGTCGAAGCAACATGATTTAAAGTATCTTGATTAATTGATGCCCTAGCCATATGATAAAATGTTAAAGCAGTATCCACATCGGCAATAGATCGAAGTAAATGACTGAAATCAGAAAAATCTTTATACGTGATACCCTAAAACAATATATATACATGGAAAAAAAAGAAAGGATCAAGATTTTTGGTATGAAAAAGCACTTTATTTGTAAGTGTTGTGAGGGAAATAAAGTCTACAATAAATAGACTAACAGTAATAAATTGTAAACAAAAACAAACAAAACAAATCGTTATAAATAATGTCGTAGAACAAATGAAATGTTAATTAAGATTTACAAACTACCAATTAACATGAGATGGATGAATTACAGATATTATATAATTATTAGTAGTAAAATAGAATATTCAACATACTTATAATCGACTAGTAGTATATACTAGGGAATGTATGCGAATGATTATCATGAAAACGATTAATAATCGATTAACTACCTCAATTTTAACTACAACTGCAAAGTTATTATTGTGAAAGAATTACATTTAAGTTAACAAAAAACTCTACTTAAATTATTACTGTACACGTGGGAACAGTTAGGGAAACCTACTTAGAATAACCTCATAGTTATTACTATGATTAATTAACCAAAAACATATTTGAATCTTCATTTTTTATGCATGTATATGTGTAGTCGGTTATGATACTGATTAATTATCAAGATAAGAGTAAATCGATTGGATTTTAAAACCAACAACTTAGCGGTTGCAAATACAGTAACAGCTGAACAGTAAATACAGTTTAATCTTAACAATAATGAGTTGCAAACTTAATAACATCAAAATATTTAACTGATAGAAATAGAACGACGTTAATTCGAGATTTGATAAGGTTGTAAATGCATATACTTTATGAAAGTCTACAACTACACAAAACAAATAAAGCTTAAAGCATTTAGTACTCCAGTATATTAGATAATGGATTAAACAAAGAGATACTTGGATTGTACGGAAAAATTAACTGAAAGGAATATTTCTCTAAATTATAATATATCAAAGTAATTTTGTAATCAATAAAAGAAAACCTGTAAGTTGTAAATATATCCAATCAAAAATTTCACAATGCAATTCACATGTTCATTCTAAAACAGCTATTAAGAAAGGTTAAGGTTATTTGAAACAGCATGTAGCAATTACAAATTGAATTGTTTTTATATACAGTAGTAAAGTGAACAGATTTATATTTTAGGAGAGAAATAATCAAGTGGGAAATAATTATATATATATATATATATCATTAGTAGAGAAAGGATCTTTAATAACCAGGAGAGAGGATAGAGATAGAACAAACATTTTCGAATATATGTAAAACAGGGTGATTGGTTAACGTGATGGAGTTTGAAGTGAACAGTATTGGGTTCGAGTCCCAGAGTGAACATCAACTCTGAGATGTGGGTACACCCAGCTGACAAGTCCCAAATAAGATAAAACGTGCATCCGGGATTCCACCGATAACCACTATCCATATTTGCTTATAAAGCTTGTGAATTAAGGCAACATTGAGGCAGTCCGCAAAGGATGCACATATCCCAATAAGAGATTGATCAATTGCAGTCCTAAATAACAATGGGAAGATACAAGTAAACAACATCAAGTGAAGAATGAAAGATATTTAACGCTTTCCTCCAAGTAGTGTGCGAACCTGTCTGTCAAACGTGGTTGAACTAAAGATCCTAGTATTTACACTTATAAGAAATTCACAAGACTTTTGTTTCTTTCTTCTTCGCTAAGGAAAAATTAGTAAAAGTTTTCATTATGTAATGGTCTTATAGTCGATCAACATAAAAATTTAAAAAATGACTTACAATAGACTGATCAGAATCTATAGGAAATTTTGTTTTTACTCGACGAATCATTTTACGTCTTTTATTCTCAGAAAATCCAGCATAAACAAGTAGAGAATTGGCAAACTGAACTTCAGTAATTTTCCCATTTTTTGGTTCAGCTCTTTCAAACTGAAATTTTGTTTTAAAAAGATACACATGTATAAACTTTCACAAGAGAAAAACATAACCAACCAATAAAGACATAAAAATCCATCTGAGTGATCAGTCACTTGTTTTTAAAAATTGTTTATAAGCATTATTTAAATGTCGCGACTTTTCGTGAAGTGATTCTATAAAAACGTGCAAGTTATTGCCATCTTGAAACTTAATCAGTCGAAAAACTATTGAAAAAGACGAAACACTATAAGTTGCTAACCACAAGACCTGTTTTAGATTAGGTTAAGTATGTGGGGTAATGGGCATACAGTGGGTAGAAACAACTGTCCAATGCTTTCTAGTGATAGATAATGTTCGGTAACTCATGATAAAAATGATCGTTGATCCATGATTTGTTGATTGCAATCTAGAACAACATATATAAGCGAACAATATTGTTTTCGATTAGATCCTCATCAGGCTATACTCTAATATACAGTAATATTTATATGCATATACGAAATTATTAAACCAATCAAGGCAGTTTATGAGTCAATGATAACAGTGGAATAGATTACATAATCAAAATTAATAATAAGTAGAAAGTACAAATTGGTAATGTAATGACAGGTGTACTAGTTGTGATAAGAATAATAAAAGGCTTGAATCAATGTTACATAATAGGAAAATAGGTCAATGATTAGAAAATATAGACACTGAAATAACAATCATAGAAATTATAGAAATTATTCTGTCTTACTCGACACGATCTATGGTGATTCCCCAACTAAAGGACAAGTTGCCTGGTTATGCCACTTCTATGTGTATCTATAAATTCAGCTGCTCCTGTGGAGAAAGCTATATTGGGCGCACTACCAGACAATTGAACCAAAGAGTTAGTGAACACCTCCCTTCGGGTTAGGAAAAGGTATTGTCAAGTCGATACGGAGCTCGATTCTTTCACACTTGATTGATAGCGGTCATGAAGTTGACAGAAACCAGTCTTTTAAAGTTATTTATCGTATTCCTACTACTTTTCCTTATGGGGTTCGATCTCGTCTCCTACACATAGCAGAAGCTATAGGAATTCGATCCAACAACCCAAGTCTTTGTGTTCATAAGAAATTTGTAACACCCTTATCCCTCCCTTGGCCTTAATAAATAATCTTATTTTCCATACTCTTTCTTCGTTTATTTTTCTTCACCCCCCCTATCAATCATTTACTTATAATTTTTCTAATATTCGCTTCCAATTATCTGAACACTTCTTATTACGTAATCTTATAATTTCTATGATTGTTATTTCAGTGTCTATATTTTCTAATCATTGACCTATTTTCCTATTATGTAACATTGATTCAAGCCTTTTATTATTCTTATCACAACTAGTACACCTGTCATTACATTACCAATTTGTACTTTCTACTTATTATTAATTTTGATTATGTAATCTATTCCACTGTTATCATTGACTCATAAACTGCCTTGATTGGTTTAATAATTTCGTATATGCATATAAATATTACTGTATATTAGAGTATAGCCTGATGAGGATCTAATCGAAAACAATATTGTTCGCTTATATAGATTGCAATCTAGACGTAAGTGAAATGGCCAATCTAACCACTGTCTACATTGACGCGCAATGTTGGCTGATGTCAGAGTAGGCTGTAAGAAAACTAGAGACAATCAAAACAAAACTTGGCATTAATCAATGAAGTCATTGATTGTTGGACTGAGCAGTGTCGGTAGTTTATCGTAAGAAATGATTGGAGGATGTTATATGATATGTCCAGGAGTCGATCACAATGACACAGATGCATGTACTGTTTGCCTTCTTTTGACTTTTAAGAATATCTTATACATTTTTTTATTTTACAAATTCTTTGTTCTCAAATCATATAATCTATGCATAGATTTTTTATAACTATTGATGCTGCTACGAATTCTATTACCTAGAGATTTATTTTGATAATTTCATCTCACTGTGTACAAATGATGCGGCTACTTAAACTGATGTATACACGTATGCCAAACTAAACATTTTATATGACTGCTTGATTTTTATGATGGTTTATCATGATTGGTAAAACAAAATCTCCGATTATCAAAATCAATGAGTAGGATAATAATTAATAGACAAACGTAATGATAGGATGTATGATCGAATGACGGACACTCACGAGACCGTATGATTGATATAGCCTATTGAATGATTTGAAATCAAAGAAATTAATACTAATAGACAGAAAAATACATTTTCTGTGATAAAAGAGAATACTTATGTGGACAATATTAGCAGGAAAAATAACATGATAAAATGGCATAGGCAATTAGGGGAAATAAATTTGTAGGCCATTTATTCTTCAATTAATCAAGAACTGGTCGTTAGACCTAAGTTTTGGACATGGTATCAGTGACTAAAGTGGTCAGTTCTATATCAATAATGTTTTTTTAACATCAAAATAGTAATTAATAAACGTTACTAATACTTATGGTCGACAATTTGTTGCAATTAAAGTTAATAGAAAATCGCTTGATAAGAAAAATACAAATTGGAGACAAAAACGGGAAACAACGCAGGAGCCGGTTTTACGGATGTTGGTACAAAAATATATCTTCGTTGATATATATATAACTAATAGAAAGGCTAACCTCTAGACGCATAATTTCCTCTTGTAAATCAGAATGAAATTGAAGAAATTTACTGATTGGCAACTTCTGATCGCCGTTTGGACCGAAGAAATAGCGTTTGAAAGCACTATTACAACTACCTGATTTCAAAGTACAGCCTGTTGTTAAATTATCACGATGACGACGACCCATAGCAGTTGTGCCCATAATTACAGAACGAACCTAATAAAGCAAAAGGATTGATTGTTAACTAGTTACTATTAATCTATACACAAATATTTATTTCAGCCAGGTGCAATTTTATTTTATTCTATTCTATCAAAACAATGAGTGGAAATGATGATTAAAAATTGGCTTGAAATAACTAAAAAAAGTTTAAGATGTCGCGGATAGAGGTGAACTATTATTATACTATCAGCATTAGTATTGTATTGAACGAAAACTTTGTTGGGATGACCGAAATTTCGTTTATCGCAAAAATCACAGTGGTATAGAAAATACGAAAACCAAAAATTAAATACATCATTCGAACATCTTCTTTGAATTATTTCTTGCAAATGTGATCATTCTTTCATTTCTTATCTCTTCTCATTTTCCTCTTACATCAGTAAGAATCTCACTTCCCATGCCAGATACATATTACTTATATTTGTCAGTATACGTATCACATTATTATTATTAGTATTATTATTATTACTGTTATTCATCATGAAAATTTCATCAAACTGGAGAGTCGCTGTCTAACAAAATCTCACCATGTATTGAGAAACCTTAGTTGAACTTTCTCAACTAACCAAACTTATAGCATTACCGAGTGTTCGTTTACCAAACAAAGTGAGGGTGTAGTGCTCAACAGCCTGCTCTCCATCACTCCATAACTATGAAACATGGTCTATGAGAGTAACAGATGAGAGTGTGCTACGGGATTTTGATCATAAGTATCTTCAAAACATTGCCCGTATGTGATGGGATGACCAAGTGAGCAGTCTTGCTGTCAAGCACAGGATTTAAAACAGAGATGATAAATGGGTTGATGAGGTTGTGAATATTCATTTACTGAAATAGTTAAAATATGTGTTATATATATATATATATATATATCAAACATTCAATATTAACTTACAACCTCAAACTCGTTTATGTCCAATTCCCCATCTCCATTAATGTCAAACATACGAAAAGCTATTTCAAACTGTCGACGAGGTGCTTCAAGAAAAATTATTAATAAACAAAAAAGTAACTGTTATATAAAAAGGCACTTGCCAGTAGAGAATCATATTTAAAAGTACAGATAAATGATTACACATGAAATTTGAAACATATTAATGATGATTATGAATCATTAAGGGATTTTGCTTGCAGATATTAAATACATAAATATCTTCACCAGGTTATCTACGTACACCTATCATGAGCCCTGTGGCTTGTTTGTTAGGTTTGACTGGGGTTGGTATCACACTAAGCTCCAGAGCGGAGGAAGTACTAGCCAACTTGATTCCCATTAGCAATTGTTTATGAGCTATTAGGTTAGAAAGCTTCATTAAAAGGAAAAAAACGAGTTGGAAACGATATCTCTTCTTCATCTTCACCAATGCATCGAAAGGAATCAAGAGTGAGTTACACTATCAGTTAAATGATATCAACAGAGTGCGTTCGACAGACACTGTAGTGATAGCTGGAGGTGTTTGGACATAGAAGAGAATCGTTTGGGTGAACAAGGACTCGCTGGTTACAGGTCAAACAAAGGTGATCATCTCTTGTGGCTTTTTGCAGAGAACAACCTGTTTTTGTCCAGCACCAAATTACAGCAAACTCATCGCAAACGTTTTATATGCGGTCCTCCATCTGTAAGTTTTCACTTGAACTAATCACACAGAGATCCACTATCGCTGGCGTGGTTATGTACAATGTGTTTGTTAACTGTCTGTAAAAGCTGAAATCACAATTAAATTGAATGTGAATGACATAACATGTTCACAGCTATACGGTTTTCGTTCTTATGACAATTTAAGCTGATTGAAGATAACGCTATTTAGAAAATTAGACCATATGAAACTTACAACTCCAGTACTTTATAATTAAAACCACGTCTAAATATCAGACAATTAAACAAAAAAGCTCTAAGTGAATATCTTTACACTTCTGTGGAGCATCAAATAAACTGACTATGTAATCAGTTTTTATAATATCTGTTCCGATCTACGGGCAGTTACAACTAATTTAAAAATTTTTGTTAGTTTTCCGAATGAGAACTAACTGTGGCACTAAGAATACATTTTAAGGCAAATAGCCGTTAAAAATTTAAAATTAACAAACAGAAAAACATTTATTTGTGTCATTGAAATTGTTGAAAAGCATCTATCTATACTATTTGTAAATCTAATCTATTGAGTTAAAGCATATTTTTCTTATGCTTGCTGAAGAAACCTGAATTATCATTGGGGTTTGGCTTTACCTAAGTCCAAATCACACTTCGAATTAGAGAAATTCACTTAAGCATAGTTGTTATGGAGTAATAATTAGTTAGTATCAATTATTCATTTCAATCATATTTACATAAAATCCACTATATATAGACATAATGGCATTCAATTTTGGACATTGATGTGTAGGGGTTCATCTAACCAAAGTTATTTATATCCTAGAAAGAATGAGAAATCAACAGAAATGGCAGAAAAATAAACAATAAAATGAATACAATAAAAAGTTAATAGATAAATACAACTATATACAAAAATCAGTTTCTAATATTTGAGCAATTACAAAACTTACTCGAAAGCACAGTTAATAGGAATATAAAATCAGTAAATGTGATTAAAGCTTGATCACAAAGCTTATAAAATACTGATTCTTTAGGTATATCCAAATTTAATTTTTCACTCTATTAAATTAGATAAGAAAATAATAAACAGGATTAAGCGTTAGCAGTTAAACAATTCACCTTATTAACATGAATCAAACAGTCACAACTGTATATTTTGCTAAAGTATACATTTAAAAATAGGGACTAGAGAAAGTGAAGTTGAGGATAAGTAATTAATAAAATACTAGCCTTCAAAATCAAACTCCATTTACTTTGGTTTAATAATAGTTGGGTAGTATCTTTGATAAAAGTATACCATACTGACGACGTTGAGGGACTTATCAGTTAGTCAGGAAACATTACCTAGTTATAAAGCAATTAGCAATAAAAGGCAATAACATTACAGTGGAATAGTAGTTTTGATAAATAATCCTCTACACATTAACTTATTAATTATCGTAAAAGAAAAAGAGTATTTTTACATAATACAATTTGGGCTAATGTTATGAGTTGGTATTTGTCACCAATTGATATCAGTCATAATGCAAAAAGGGCTAGATAGTAGGAATTAGACTAGATCGATATGTTGAAATTACGCAATAAGTTTAAAGTATTTTTCACGAATTGGCATCAGCTATAATGTAACGATATAACGAAGAACGGAATTACAATGAATGTTATCCAATGTTATACACCTACCAATGTCGGCAACAACGACGACAAGGAACAGTTATACCGGAGGCTACAATCGATCATAGCGAAATGCCCAAGAAAAGATCTCATCATTCTCATAGGAGACCTAAACTTCAAGGTCTGAATGAACAACACCGGATATGAAGATATCAAGAGACGACACCGAATGAGAGAAAGGAATCAAACTGAAGAGAGATTTGCAAATTTATGTGCTTCCAACTACATGGTCGGTTATATGTGGCACCACTTTCCGTCGTAAACGCACATAAAAGTCATATGGGTCTCACCGGATCACACTACAGAGAATCACATAGATCATATTTGTATCAATAAAAAGTTCACAAGGTCAATGGAAGACATGAGAACCAGGAGAGCAGCTGACATAGCTTCAGATCACCACCAACTGGTGGTTGCCAAGATGAAACTGAAGTTAAAGAAGTACTTGATAACCGGGAAAACATCATTACAAAGGCTCGACACAGTCTTCTTCTCAACAACAGATTTCAAGTCTTACGAGACCTACTCACAGAAGGAGAAACTAATATGGAAGACAAGTGGAAAGGGATCAAAGAAGCACTAACTTCAACGTGTTAGGTGCTGGGCCGCAAAAAGTATCATCATAAGGGGTGAATCTCTATAGAAACACTGGACATGACTCAAGAAAGTAAGGACAGGAAGACAGTAATCAGCAACAGACGAATAAGAACAGAGAAAGTCAAGGCAAAAGTTGAATACAGAGAAGCGAACAAACAAGGGAAGAGGAGCCTTTGAGCGGACAATCAGAAATACCTGAAAGACCTTGGAGTGACAGTGGGTAAAGCTACAAGAGAAGGGAATATAAACCAACTATATAACACAACGAAAAACCTTGAAGGTAAAATGGTAAACCAGAGAGATCAGTCAAGGACAAAGGAGGCAAGCCAATCACTGAAATTCAAAAAACAGAGGAACGGGTGGGTAGAATACATCGAGCAACTCTTGGATAGACTAATCCCACCGAACCTACCGGACATCGACGCAGCACACACAGACCTTTCTAAAGCTGTCACTCCACCAACGATCGAAGAAATGAGGATGTCTGTCAGACAAACCAAGAGTGCGAAAGCAGCTGAACCTGACAACATACCAGCTGAAGCACTGAAACCAAACATTGAAGTAACTGCAAACATGGTCCACGTTCTATCTAGTAAGATTTGTGAAGAGGAACAGGTGCCGACAGACTGGAAAGAAGGATATCTCACCAAGATACCAAATAAAAGAGATCTGAGCAAATGTGAGAACTACAGATAGCGTAAGGATCGGTCGTGCACAGACCAAATCATCACACTACGGATCATTGTTGAACAATCAATTGAGTGGAACTTGTTCTTCGACACTATGGTGTATCCGAGAAGATCGTCAACATCATACTGAATTCATGCGATGGACTACACTAAAAGTCATGCGTGGAGGACAGCTGACAGATGCATTCCAAGGAAGCCTTGAAAAAATATACACTTGAGTGTAGAAGGATGGATGAAAACAGAGCAAGCCTGGTTTATTAATGCAGTTGGATAGAACAGCTTACAATGGACTGGTTAATGTATGTACAAAAGGCTTTGGCTAGAAGCCCAGACCATTCGACTAACAGCCACGTTCCACGAAAATAAATAAAACTAGAGAAGAGTAATTTAACCCAACTTGTCGATTTATTTCATAGTTACAAAGATTTTTACTAGCAACCCGTCTTTGTATTCTTAATAAATTTGTAAAATCTTTCTTCACTGTCTAATTATTTGAACATTTCTTATTACGGAACTTTAATAATTCTTAATGAATACTATTTCAATGTCTATTTTTTCAACATTTTTTTAACATACTTCTCATTGTGAAACATTGATTTAGGGTCTTTATTATTCTTACCACAATTAGTACACCTGTCATCATATTGTAAATTTATACCTTTTAATTATCATGTTTAGTTATATTAAAGCCCGATGAAGATCTAATGGGGAACAATATTGTTCGCTCGTATATGTCATTTTAATTTGTAATATGGGTACTTTTAATGTATTGCGAAACATGAAATCCTACAAATACAACCGTGGTGCACGTACCAACAGTCAGTTATTTCGGTTTGTGATTTTAACCTTTGATATGCAATAACATTCTTTGAAGACATCGAGTATATAGGTTATGAATACATTCTCAGGTATTAGTGAGTAGTCTCATAGGAGAGAACTCGAGATTACTAAATTCATACCAACAAACTAAAGAATTCAGTTAATTCAACTTACGATAACTGATCTCAGCTTAACATAAAACATTCTAGTCAACAAAGGACTAACCTTGTTATGGAACCAAACTAATCCCGTCTATATGTCAAAGGAAAAGAATATAAGCAAATGAGATAGCGTGTAAGTTTGGCGTAAATAACACATGTAAAATAATAAAACTGAATTACTTAAACAACACATTCAACCCGAAATGTAAAGTTATATTTCAAATACAAGAGCTTAAGGCGTGAAATAAATTTCCCTCGATGTTGCGGATGAAAAATGATACGATGAAGAATTTAAGTACATTTTCCTCCGTGATAGTGACAAATAGACTTACTAAGTAGATCCCGATGGCTATTACATACTTATGATAATGAACTTTCCGACGGCACTGCATAAAGTAGTGCCGTAACCGTAAGTGTAAAAAATATCTATTGAATAGGTAATTACTTACAGGAAAAATAAAATCCTGGGCATGTGTTACACTTCTTTCATGTGGACAAACATTTGTAAGTCTAACCAAGAAAAGCAAAGTGTAGAACTCGCAATGTTTTCACAATGAAAACATATTTAGGATTGATAGTAATAGAATACCTAAATAAATAAAAACTGAGCTGAAGTACAACTTTATGAGGTGTAATCATTTTCTAGTTTATCGTCCATGAAGATTACTGCCGTACTACAGAATTATATTCATAACCGATAACAACATCACATGCCATAATCGTTGGGTGAGAAAAAGTGAGTTATATTTCGAAAAAAACCCACTTGACTGTAATTGCTGATAAAATGTTTTTAAGTAATACCCCGTAGATAATCAATATTTTATAACTAACCTTTGGGTCATATCGCTTAAACGAATCCAAATCTAAACCGTCAGGTTGCTTAATACCTGGAGTAATTGAACGAAGAAAGTCTTCAGGAGTCATGTAAACTGTTTCACTGTCTTCTTCTATGCTCTTAAGAGTTGCGAAATATCGGAAGATTTTGTCCGGTGTAGAATAGGCTCGAATTCGGTTTTCGTATGCGATGAACTAGTATTTTAAAAGCAATTTGTTAGTTATCAATAATATATTCCTAAACACAAATAATCTGTTTATGTTATTACTATAAAACATGAGTTATAAAACAATCTAACGAGGTGATAAGAAAAAAGGCAAAATATCAAAGAGCTGTTACTTTGCCTTTTAGTAAATTGCTCTGATGCGCAAAAATTTGACACACAAATATTCCCCTAAATGATAAATTGGTAAATCACAAAGTTTCACACGAGACAATAGTGAAGATTTGAAGTATCAGGTGATTTCATAATTAACAAAGATATTGAATGTATCATTAATGTGATCAGTCCTCATGCTGAAACAAACCAACTCTGAAAAAGCATTATACAATTAGAAGGAAATTCATATCAAATATCCTTACACTGGCAACAAAAGTGTTCAAAAGACTATGTTGTTAGTATCTCCATTCAACAAGACTGTCATCTATGTACTCCAAACCAATGAGTAAATTTAAAGGGAGATCAATCCCCAGAAAGTTAGGTAAATCAAGTGTATTTTTAAGTAGAAAGCAATAAAAAAAGTAAATAAAAATGCAGATAATAGGAAGCTTTAACGAACACTGCAGGAAGTGACAAATTCCTATGTCCATTTGCTATGAGCATTAATTCAGCCGATTGTATTGGAGTATAGAGCCTTCAGAAGGTATGTCTACTACAGTACGTCTTCTGATGGCAAGAGCTAACACAAAACTACTTGATCGACGAAGTCACACGTCACCTTAAGGTAAAAAAACAACTACATTCAGGCATCGATTAGTGTATTTGCTAAAAAACCTGAAAAAGGTTGAACATTTGAGTGCTATATTCACGACTAGGCTTAAACCAACCTGGTTTTACTAACGTTTTCACACATGAGTCTCAATTAAGCGAAAAATGAGTGACACATTATTAATCAAACCGATTCCTCCATGGTTATCTTCCTAGCTATTATCTTAATCAACATACATTCTCTAACTGAAACAAAACTCTAGAGTTAACCCTTCAGGTCCTAGTGCACTTTCTCGCTTCATACCAAATAGGTGGGACAAACCAGAGTGTCAAGGTATGACTAAACCCATTGGTTTATATGCACACCTATTAACTTTCCAACTTGTTACTGGAAAGCATCATCAGTAAAATGCTACAACTTTGTGCAATATATTTCAAAAATAATTGAAACGTATTTTGCATATTTCCCCTTCTATTTATTCCCGAATTGTATAATATTTTATTTTCTTTACCTCGTGGTGAGTAAAGCTAGACTCAGATACGTCACCAATAGGTAGCGCCACTGACTATTAGGAATGAGCATCGAGAAATATGGATTTCTAGGATGGAATCCTAAGGACGATGGGCATGAGCGGCTCAAAGTCTTGAGTGACATAGCTTAGGACCGGTCACAATGGAGCAAGCAGATTCACTTCCTTAACTTCATTCTATATTCCTAACATAAGTTCTCATTTTCTGACTCATATTGCTACTGGTAAGGGAAAGCAAACCAAAAGAGAACATGAGTTGCCAAGACATTGCAATCACTAAAACATAATTTGCCAACAAACAAGTAAACCTTGGTTAGATATTTTCGAAATAGCTAAATATTCGTGTGAGAAATTAACTCACACATTCGGATAACAACTTTTGAAGTATGCTTTCAGATGAATGGAATGAACATGAACACAGAAAATAAAATAAACAACCTTTAAGTTACGCAAGTTTATTAACTGAATACAAAACGGTTGACGAAAGTTATTAAGTACCTTCCTGTCTCGAAATCCAGCATGTTTTTTTCTTAAAGAGTCGTTTTGATGTAGCTGTTTCTCGTCTGTGTCAGAAACCTCTGACTGACATTTGGCATTTATCACATTACATACCTGAAATAAGTTAGCTCAATAAAAAGTTAACATACCTTCTTTTCTGAGCCTTTTTCATTGTGGGAACCATAAGCCTTCCGTTCCGCATAAGTGAAGCTGAAAAAATAATTAAGAATACGACGTGCGAGCCTACCCTACAGTAATAAATAGCAAAAGCATACACGCTAAAGTGCCAAAGTAGTATACTTCGTAATAAATCTTTTGTTTTATAGGATATGCATTTTTGTAATGAGTGTAACGATTACGGTAGGGACCGTGTACAGCAGTTTTTTGTTGAAAAGTTATACAAGGATCCCATTTTAAGAAATAGCAGAATGATATTTTGGAAAATGAACGTCTGCCAAAAGACCGAAGAGAATGTCGCGATAAGTGACAGAACAGCATCCAGTTAGTTTTTCGAGAATAATATACAGTTTAACTTGAACAGGTGAGGAGAACCTTCGCAAAAATGAGTAGTCTAAATGAACTGATTGTCTTCAGAGGAATTAATGCTACACCGATAACAAGCTAAGAGTGTGTATTGACTGGAGTGATCTCTTCCAAAAAAACGGCTACCTTGATTAGTTGTCGACGTTTCCTTTTTTAGCGTTATAGTCGCTACTCTCAAAAAGAACAGCCCAGAAAAAGTTTATACAAATAACTTAAATTTGTAGAATGAACATATCAACAATGAAGCTGAGCCGGACACAATTTTCCTCGAGTTAATATTTTTCCTAAATTCGAACCTAAAAAGAATTAGAAAAAGAGGTTATTTAGATCAGGTGATGAAGAGAGTGGAATGCGCTAGTTGTGCGCAATTTTAAAGTCAATGTATTAACTTAAGGTTTATGATAAACAAGTTACGACAAAATGATAAATTTAACCGCAGCTAACAATAACGTTCGACGAAAACATAAAGTACAAGCGCATCGTTTGAGAAAGCTAATTCGTAGTGTAAATGATTAATGAATGGTATGATTAGATGATGAGTGAAAGCTATCACGATATGTACGCAAAAAATTGCTTAAGATTTTGTTCTACGGTCTAGTTTATTTGAATTAAGTAAATATTTTCAATAACGTTAAACAGTTCCGTCACTTTAGTTAACCTACTCATTATATTTTGAATGGCAAAGCTGATTGGAATTTTAGTGCGAGTGGAACTGGAATACGTTTGCTAAAAACAATCTTAAAGCTAGGGTGCAAATATAAATGTTACTATACTGGTACACTGTAATCTAGTATTGATTCAGTATTAAATGCCGTTTGACAGTTTGTTCTCTTTAGGCACATCTCTTTACAACACAGTAGTGACAACCTACAAAAAACTCTCTTATGCTAACGAACAAATTCAAGAAAGGACTTGATGATTTCAACAACCAATGAATTACTAAGATGACTAGCGCTTACATTCACCACAAGAATATATATGATTTTGTTGATGATCTTACATACTAAAACAGTAGTCTGGTTGAACAGTTCCAAACCACTTTAAACTTACTCTAAAGGTGTTCACTGTACCTAGCTAGGGTAGGCGGTGGTCGTGTTTATGTATCATATCACAGTGGGGCAACCAAACTCGACCACAGTTGCTACCTTGACGTGGTGATCGGGCTCGCTTATCGTGATGACCCAACCGAGCTATATTGGCTGGGACATATGTTCATGTAGGTTATACCATGCCAGGTAGGTCGATTGGAGGAACGGTAAGAGTAAAAGCAGAAACTCAAGGTCTGAGGGCGAAGTTGTACTGCTGATTGTAGAGCGGTGTGACATCAGTAAGATGTTTCCTTCAGACAACCGGCATTTGCAGTAATGCTGCCTTCTCACAAGGAGGGGTGGGGTTAGAAAAGGTCAACCCTAAAAATGTCACGCCTTACCTTACCTCACGAATTTCCGTCTCCGGCGGTAAGGACCTTTGAAAAACGGAGCTAACACGTCAAAAATCTCCCACAAAAAGGCCGTACGTGACCGGCCTCAAACAATTGTCCCTTGGGCTATGCGGTCACGCTTCCAGGTCGTTAAGGCCAACATTAATCTAACTTCATTTTTAGATCCCTTAAGAAATATCCTTTCATGATGTGGGCAGCCGGAAAGTGATATTAGCCCTCATACCCGTAACTGTAGCAGCAGCCTCAACAGCAGTAGGTCTTAATATAAACAAAAGGAAAAACAAGACTCTCCGATACAATACAACATGCACCAATCGAATTACACTTGACGGACAAGCTTTGGAGAATGTGGAAACCTTTACATATCTAGGCAGCATCATTGATGAACATGGTGGATCAGATGCACATGTGAGGGCTAGGATCGGCAAAGCAAGAGCAGCATATTTACAACTGAAGAACATCTGGAACTCAAAACAATGGTCAATCAACACCAAGATCAGAATTTTTAATACAAATGTCAAGACAGTTCTACTGTATGGGGTGGAAGCTTAGAGAACTACCAAAGCTATCATCCAGAAGATACAGGTGTTTATTAACAGTTGTCTACGCAAGATACTTCGGATCCATTGGCCAGACACTATCAGCAACAATCTACTGTGGGAGACAATAAACCAGATTCCAGCGGAGGAAAAAATCACGAAGAAGCGCTGGAAGTGGATTGGGCACACTTTGAGGAAATCACCCAACTGTGTAACAAGACAAGCCCTCAAATGCAATCCTGAAGGCCAAAGGAGAAGATGAATACCAAAGAACACATTACGCCGATAAATGGAGACAGACATGAGAAGAATGAACAAAAACTGGATAGAACTAGAAAGGAAGACCCAAGACAGAGTGGGTTGGAGAATGCTGATCGGCGGCCTATGCTCCATTGGGAGTAACAGGCGCAAGTAGGTAAGTAAGTACCCGTAACTGCACACGATCACATTCGAATCCCTCCTATACCTCCTAATAACTCTCTTATCTTCACGACTACCCTCCTTTTATCACCTCGCACCGCTAGGGCAAACGACTCCAGCACACGGAACGTTATTCCTGGTCTCCTGAAACCACGCTCTAAACCACATGTAGGAACTTTTAACGTTCGAAGAGTGTGCTAAATAGAACAACAGACCTCCTTAGCTAGGACTTTAGAATCTCGCACCATCGATGTGTGCTGCGTCTCCGAAACGCGCATACAAGATCAGAGTAGTGTCATTCACTTGATCTCACCATGTCAAAATAAAGAACCATCTCGATACACGCTTCGTGTATCTGAAAGCCCTGATGCTGCTTACCGTAGCCTCGCTGGAGTAGGTATAGCATTAAGTCGTAGGGCAGAACTAGCTTTTAGACTGGATCCCAGTAGACAGTCGTCTATGTGCTGTCCGACTAAACGGATCAGTAAGGACTCGGAAAGATAGGGAAACTCGTCGTTGCCTCTTCGTCGTCTCTGCCTACTCTCCCACTGACTGCAGTGGGATCTCATGGTGTCGTAGCTGAAAGAACAGATCATGGAGACCGTCTGTTGTAGCTATGCTCAGATAACCGCCTATTTCTTGCAAATACTAACTTTAAGCACAAGGAAAAGCGTCTTTTGACATGGCGACCCCCGAATTCGTCCCAACGTTGGACCCAATTAGATCACATCGCTATCAGCCACCGATGGAGGGGCTCGATAAAAGATTGTCGCTCATTCTGGAGCACATGTTTAGACTCAGATCATGCTCTAGTGCGAACATGTGTCTGTCTGCGTCTTACTGGACGTAGGAAAGACACTGCAGGGAAACCTTTTAGGGTTCTACTTAGTGATAGGAAAACTAAGTATATATATTTCAGGAACAACTGGAAAAACAGTTAGGCAGCCATGTAAGTTGTGCCCACCCCGAGGCAGAGTGGAATGACATCCGAAAAGCTGTGGAAACAGCAGTGATATCCGCTAGTAAGGTAAACCATAAGGTTAGGGAGAAACAATGGATCTCGGCAGCATCTGCCGCACTGGTAGATGCTCGAAAACTCATCCCACCTGGCTCTGAACATAACGAAGAGCGGAGTCAGCTTAAGCGAAGGCTAATAAGAGGCTTATGCAATGATGGTGAACAGTGGTGGATAGCGAAAGCAAGAGAGATGGAAAAGGCAGTGGCAATAGGTAACAGCAGACAGCTATTCAGATTTGTTAAAGAAACCTGTATTAGGATCCCAAATATCAGTGAAGCTATCTCAGATAAAGATGGACATGTCATTCATTCTCAATCCAGGAGATTGGATCGATGGGCAGAATAATTTAGGGGTCAGTTCAACTGGCCTTCAGCTACACTTCGGTTTCCATCGATCCCCAGTCGACCTGAATGGCAAGTTAATGTAAGTCCATCAACTCTTTACGAGGTTGAAAAAGCTATAAGAAATCTTAAACGAGGGAGAGCAGCAAGCCCTGACAGGTTTACCCCTGAGATTTTTAAGGATGGCGGTTCAGTATTAGCAGCGAGATTGACCGAGGTCTTAGGTAGAATCTGGGAACTGTACGTTATCCAATCTGACTGATCTTGATCACTGATTGTGCCAGTCTATAAGAAATGGCAATAATCACGCTTTAATACAAGCACGCATTTGTCTGCGCCTCAATGGACGCAGGAAAACTACACTAAGAAGACCCATTAGGATTGAACTGGAGCACGAGAAAACCAAATGTAAATTCCAGGAACAACTGAGTTCATATCTAGGCAGTTCTGTAAACGAGACTGACCCAGATGCTGCTTGGAAAGACATACGAACAACTGTGGAAAAAGCAGTCACATCTATTAGTAATTTAAACCACAGGGTCCCAAAAAACCAATGGATTTCTTCCAAGTCTATTTCACTGGTGGATTCTCGTATACTCATCCCTTCAGGCTCTGATCACGACGAAGAGCGCGAACAAATCAGATCTAGGTTGACCAAAAGTCTAAGGAACGATTGTGAACAGTGGTGGGCAACGAAAGCAAAATAGATGGGAATTTATTTATTTATTTAAACACATATATATTGGTACAAAAGCGCACCAGGTACATATGCGCCACACAAAATAATGAAAGTAGGAAGAGAAGGGATGAAAAGATAAGGCGGACTGAAATGAACAACCAGAAGACTCTTTCAGTTAAGAAAGTTAGAACCATTCTTTATGTAGAAAGTAAAAGAAGGTTGCAGCAGGATCGCCACTGGCTTCTATTCTGAGCCATATCTGATAACGTCTCTAGTCACTGTGTTGCATCATCTCTCGGACCCCAGCCAGGGAGTCGTGAAAGAACAACAGAAGCTAGCCCTTTGCAGCTTTCTTTCATGCCACGACACCATGTCATACACTGACCTCCTCTCCGCTTTTTAAAACCAGTCCCAGGGTCGGCAAATAATGCACGACGTGGAAGTCTCTGGGACGACATTCGTAAAACATGTCCAAGCCACCGAAGTCGGTGTTTCGAGATGGTGACACCAATTGAATTATCGTCTCTGCGCCCGAACACACGATGCCGAACCTCTGCATTACTAACATGGTGTTGCCACTGGATGTCAGCAATCCTTCGGAGACAACGATGATCGAACACAGAGAGACGTCTAACATCCTCAACTCGGAGAGGCCAGGTTTCACAAGCATAGAGCAAAACTGCTCTCGCCGACGCGTTGTAGATCCGACCTTTTACAGCCAGACTAACATCACGAAGGCGCCAAAGATGGCCCAGATTGGCATAAGCCGCTCTGGCTTTCATTATACGTGCATCAATCTCATCACTCACGCCACCACCAGCACTTATATAGCAACCTAGATACACGAACTTCTCAACTACTTCGATCTCCTCACCATCCAGGGTGAGTACAGGATTGGAATCCTGTCAGTCTTGTAGGAGTACTTTGCACTTGGAGGGTGCAAAGCACATGCCGTACCTGCGGACACTGATTGCCAACTGGTTAAGTGCTGATTGCATGCCTTGGGCATTATCGCACAGTAAGACAATATCATCCGCATACTCAAGGTCGAGAAGTCGTTCTCCAGGCAACATATCCACACCGCCATTACTTACATCCATCAGAGCTGTTTCCAGAATGTCGTCGATGGCAAAGTTGAAGAGGAATGGTGAGATCGGGCAACCCTGCCTAACCCCACTGCTCGAATGAAACAAGGGAGGAAGGTGGTTGTATGACCTCACTCTGCCTGAGGTGTTCGTATACAGTGCCTTTAAGATGTTAATGAACTTCTCAGGCACGCCCTTCTTCAGTAGACAACCCCAGAGAACAGTCCTGTCCAACGAATCGAAGGCAGCCCTGATATCAAGAAACACTACGATTGTTGGCCTGCGATAAGTATGACGGTGTTCTAACATTTGGCGGAGGGTGAAGATGTGATCAATGCATCCTCGACCAGAACGAAAACCAGCCTGCTCCTCGCGAGTCAATCGTTCTCGGGTTTTAAACAACCTACGAAGAATGATAGAAGCCAATAGTTTGGACGCAATCGGAAGTAGACTTATCCCCCGATAGTTATTGCAGGAACAACGTGAACCCTTTTTAAAGATAGGGACGACTATTGACTCATTCCATGAATTTGGAATACTTTCTTGTTCCCAAACCTTTCCAAACAACACAGTCAATTCCTTAGTCAGAAGGTCACCACCATCTTTAAAAAGAGCCGGAGGTAAGTCATCTGGGCCCGGTGATTTGTAACGTTTCGAGAGTTGGAGTTCCTTGCGGACTTCCGCCTCGTTTGGTGGATCAGTCGTCACCGGCCATGGGGGGCAGGACAAGCTTGTTGATGTTGCCGGAGTAGCAGGCCAGTTGAACTGCCCTTCGAAGAATTCCGCCCATCGTCCAAGACGTCGAGAGATATTAGTGATTGGCATCCCATCATCCTCGTAGATTGTTTCACTCACACCAGACTTCTTGCTGCCAGTGGCTCGGATGAGTTGGAAGAGCTTCCGGCAGTTACCAGATGCAGCTGCTGCTTCCATCTCATTAGCACGCTCCGACCACCAGGCTTCTCGGTCCTTACGCAAGCTTTGCCCGATTTCATTACGTAACAGCCTTCGTTTGTGGTCAAACTCACGGTCACCCGGAGTAGACCGACGGGCTTCCATCAGTTGTAAGGAGCCAGAAGAAACCCAGTGCTTGTAAGCGGGACGTTTCGCGAAGCCGCAAGCGGCTTTACTCGCCATTTTCATGGCGTCGTGAAGAAGCAACCAATGCGGACTTGTAGTACTTCACTAGTCTTGAATACGGGTCTCGGATAGACAACAAACATCAACATTAAGACCTTCCAAAGACATAGTCAGCCTTATCTGTTGTCTGATATGCATTAGTGTGCGAACGTTGTAGGAAGCCAGCTTGAACGGCGTACGTGGTTTCAGAAAGACTGCTTTAGTATTCATAATCGGTGGAAGCATTCACTTTCAACCAGACAGTGACTGGAGATCGTTTAGATAGGACGGATTTTCCACCATGGGCGAGCTGCTGCATAAGTTGAAAAGTAAGGTTACACAAATTGGGGATAAAAGGGGGTGAGTTAGCGATATGGTAAATAATAATAATAAAGGTAATAATAATGTAAATTGTCTTGCTTCTAGTATGAGCAGGAATAGTGTCGTCAATAGAATTCATCATTTCATTTATTTGTGTGTGGGCTGTGATACTGCCCAGGTGCCCAGACTGAAGCAGGTGGTTTTCTTAGGGGGCCACACCCCGAGCCTTTGACCAAAAAGTCTGATCCACAAGGCAGTGGAGCATCGTGAGGAGATGCAGTCCCATGGTAGCCGTTGACCAATGACAGGTTCGTCCGCCATTCGTTCCATCAGGATACTGGAGCCCATGTGCACCATTGGTTTGGAGTCAGGACTTTCCAACTCCCCTACGTGGACTTTCCGTGTCCACCAACCCGGTTAAAGCACCGGACATTCGCTTTTCGCCCTCTCAATTTCGTAAACAACACCCGTGGCACGAGAAGGCAGTGAGTAGGACTTCCCTGACAGAGGCTATATATTCGCTGACCATGTGAGAGCATTTCGAGAGGGAGAGTAGACTCTCCCCACTCTGGGCCGTACCAGGGCATTTGGGGGCAGCGGCTGTAGGCAACACCGCCCAAAATGCCCTGGTACGGCCGAGAGTGAGGTTAGTACTCTCTCCCTCTCGAAATGCTCTCACATGGCCACGCGTATATAGCCTCTGTCAGGGAAGTCTTACTCACTGCCTTCTCGTGCCACGGGTGTTGTTTACGAAATTGAGAGGGCGAAAAGCGAATGTCCGGTGCTTTAACCGGGTTGGTGGACACGGAAAGTCCACCTAGGGGAGTTGGAAAGTCCTGACTCCAAACCAATGGTGCACATGGGCTCCAGTATCTTGAGGGAACAAATGGCATATGAACCAATCGTCAGCCACCGGCCACCATGAGACTGCATCTCCCCACGATGCTCCACTGCCTTGTGGGTCAGATCTTTAGGTCAAAGGCTCCGGGTGTGGCCCCCTAAGAAAACCACCTGCTTCAGTTTGGGCACCTGGGCAGTATCACAGCCCTTACACAAATCAAGTGAGATTTGTGTGGCGCATATGTATCTGGTGCTTCCTTGAACCAATATTTGTGTTTAAATAAATAAATAAACTTTCTTAATGACAGGGGGCAACAGCTATGAGGAATAGAGCCTTGTCAACTTGACGATTTGTGAAGAGCATGATTCCCTTGAAGTAAACGATTTAACAACTGTCACGGAGTTATCTGTTCTATCCTCTGGTCATAAATATTATGATTTGGAGATCTACAAACTGTATGACTGATAGGATAATATTACAAGAGTCAATTTTACTGGTCGAGAGGATGAATAGTTTTACATCAGAAATTGATTCTAACAAGGTCATCTGTCGCAAGGTAGATAAATAATTGTGGCGACTCTTATAAGTTTACAATAAATAGAATGGTATCACACAAAAAGCAGTGGTTTTTAAAAGGGTAGGAAACATAACTAGAGACAAAAATAGGATTACGAGTAGCTGTAAGGACGCTCCTCCCAAAGACTTCAGCGTCTTATGGATTATTCTTAAATTCTTGAGCCATTTAAATGAAAAAAATGATTTGGGGGCATTATACCCCCAAGTTTGTAAAGCCGCATCTGGAATAAGGGATTCTGACTGAGTTCTTGTTTTAGATACGAAGAGGATATGTTAGAACGAGTCCGACGGCGAGATACCAAAATCATATAAGGTCAAACTAACTTATTTTAAGATAGTGGAACGCTTTAAATGATCTTGCCATCTTACTGTAAGTTACGAGATGATTTAAAACTGGCTTATCGTGAACTTGAAAACGCTTAAACTATCGATGTATCTTACCTCTCTGACCTTCAAGTACTGACCACCTGGGATGATATTCAAAGGAATTCCAGGTTTTAAGACCAAATCATAAGAAGTTTCACTTTCCATATTTAGAAAAATACTGAAGTTCTCTATCAGAAAACGTAACATTTGAGTTTTCTGCTAATACAATCTAAAGAATACCCCCAAATGCCCTGGTAAGGCCGAGAGTGGGGAGAGTCACCTCTCCCTCTCGAAATACTCTCATATGGCCAGCGAATATATAGCCTCTGCCATGGAAGTCCTACTCACTGCCTTCTCGTGGCACGGGTGTTGTTTACGAAATTGAGAGGGCGAAAAGCGAATGTCCGGTGCTTTAACCGGGTTGGTGGACACGGAAAGTCCACGTAGGGGAGTTGGAAAGTCCTGACTCCAAACCAATGGTGCACATGGGCTCCAGTATCCTGATGGAACGAATGGCGGACGAACTTGTCATTGGTCAACGGCTACCATGGGACTGCATCTCCTCACGATGCTCCACTGCCTTGTGGATCAGACCTTTTGGTCAAAGGCTCGGGGTGTGGCCCCCTAAGAAAACCACCTGCTTCAGTCTGGGCACCTGGGCAGTATCACAGCCCTCACGCAAATCGAATGAGATTTGTGAGGCGCATATTTATCTGGTGCTTCATTGTACCAATATTTATGTGTTTAAATAAATAATAAATAAATAATCTAAAGAATTTTGAATAAACATATCACGGAAAATGGGAGAATAAGTATAGGCTACATGACGTTCAATACTTGATACTGAAAGCTGCCTTAGTAAATACAAATCTTCATATCGAGAAGCTGAAGTGTTGGGTGCGATCGAGGAACTTCCAGTGGCCAAAAACAGGAAAGAGATGAACCCTACTACGTTGGCAACTGTTTAAAAAAAATCGTATGACTGGTTTGCCCTTAATTTACCGATCGCTCTAAATTACAGTACCTTTTATTTAAAAAGCGAGTAAAACTTTAGCACGGAGTTAAGGTACCTAGACAGAGACGCAAAATAGACGTACAAAAATGACGCGTATTAGCTGACGCACAAAAAGACGCAGGATCGAATATATGTCACAATTCATTTTAAGTCCTGGTTCGATCGACGACAAAAAAACGTATATTTTGATTGTAACGAATTAAAAACAAGAAGACAACTCACTTTCGGCTGTACGTACTATTTTATTTTCAGCGCGAAACCCGATGAATAAAAAACGCTCATAAGAACTAGTGAGTTTGAGTCTGAAGTCATATATTTCTACACACCTAGGATTCTTGCTTGTAGATAGTTTTTCTTACAGATAATTTGTTTGAAGTAACTATTATCCTAGTTACCAGCGGCAAATTCAGAGTTGAACAACTTCTTGGTCGTCATGCGTAGGACAGACTCGCCAATTACTTCGAATGGTTATAGAAACAGTGTATCACCCAGAAGTCGTCGATACAGTCGGTCTCGATCTCGTTCCAAGTGAGTTGAAAATGCATACAAGCATATCTCAGATCACACTCGCGTCGCTATAGGAGCCGCAGCGGAAGTCGTGACTTTTATCGTCGCAGCCCTGGCTACGGATATAGAAGTTCCGGTCGAAAGTAAGTCATATATTCTTTCTACTTCATATCGAATATACTTTCATTCGTTTCGCATGATTTCCTTGTAATTCTGTACCAGGCGAACTAAAACTCATGTAGGTTGCCAATCCCCTATGATACACCTTTTACTTGCGCACATTGCCTTGTTTGTCAATGTGGAACTTGTTAAGTCGTTTTCTCAACCGTACCATACATCTAATAGTAGTCACCTCTTTTGAGTCAACAACTATATGTTCCAGCAGTGTAAATCTGTTTCCAGATAGCACGTAGTCACGTGGACTCTCACTGATAAATATTAAGTGACTTGTGGCTGGTTCAGTTTACTTATTAAAAGACAGATAACGATTGAGAGTTACGTGTATGCGTACCTACATTACCTACCTTAATAAATAAATCCTGTTCCGCGCATATAGGCTAGCAAACCAACACAAAAGTTTTTGTTTCGAAGATAGTTGATAACTGTTTGTCTATTTCAGGATTTACAACAAAAACTTTCCACCAGACATTTCGTTAACTAACCGACAGATTTTCTTGATGTGGTCTTTAAGATTTTTGATCAGTAATCGTGAAGTAAGATCCCACGTCTTCCAACTGGTGTTCAATATTGTTATCTGCCGTTCGTGCAAGTCTATGTACACTAATCCTTTTAATATTTATTCGTTTAGGCGTTTAGTGGTGCTCAAGCTCGAGATATGTGACTGTAGCAGACTCGCGATGACCGCGGCAATTTTCGTGTCTCTGGTAGAGCACGTACGTTCGCCTAATTAGTCGGTCGTCAAACCTGAAATGTGTGCTACAGCAAGTTAGTATACCAAGGTTAAACTCTGAAGGAAATCCTCGAACAACTGGCAGCAGAAAGGATTTTGAAATATATACGATAAGATCTCGGTACTCGTGATACAACAGAAGATAAGGTGAATAAATATTTACAGCTGCAAGTGACCTTTAGTCAGCGGTTACGATAATTATGCGGAAAGAACTTGCCCGTCAGCATACACCTGTATGTCAACCTCATTGCGAATAACCTAGTAATGTCAAAAGGTCATAGCCTCTTAACCAATCTTTCCTTAAACCTTAAGATTAAAATAGCTTCATAACTTTTTTTCTTCCCAGACTTTATCCTTATATACTACCACCACTAAATTAACTATTTCTATGAATCCGATCTAGAAAATCTCTAATACTCACTCGAAGTTCGTCTACAGAATGTTCTGACAACTTTCTGAGATCCATCCCATCTAGCAACTCGCTGTACTTCTCCATAGATGAGAAACGTGAGACAAGTCATGCATTGTGACTGAAAAATACAGTCGTATCTCTTGGTAGTAAAATGTTATTTTGTCATGAAATTTCATTATTTAAATGTTCAGATGCTAGCTGTTTTCTGTAATTTTATTTCAGGAGGTTTCTTGGGCCTCGAGAAAATCCTACTCCTTCCAGGTGTCTTGGTGTCTTCGGTTTATCCCTTCACACACAAGAAAGGAACCTTTATGATATTTTTTCGCAGTATGGAAATATTGAAGATGTCCAATTAGTCTTCGATAACTACACAGGTTTGTTAGCTCTACTCTATGTAATCTTTAGGTCGTTCTCGTGGATTTGGTTTTGTATATTTCACTCACGTTGCTGACGCAAAAGCTGCAAAAGCCGATGCGCATGGAATGGAAATTGATGGACGACCTATTAGATGTGATTTCAGCATAACGGAACGACCACATTCACCTACTCCCGGCATATACATGGGGCGACCATCTAGGTAGGTGCTAAACAATGCTTAATTTTCGTATTCTTGTTATATAATTTTAAATAAAAGCCGTTTGGATTTCCAGGCTTGCAGTGGTGGTCTAACATGAGTCGGTTCACGATTTCTTTGGAATTCAACTATTTTCACAACCCCTTAGTTCATTCCTTTCCCGCTGAAGTTTGCTTTTTCATCTTCGGGCTCTTTCAGTAATTTCTTATTCTGTTATATCTTACCTAGAAACGACAGAGTTTTAGTAGGACAATCGCATTTTACTTCACATTCTCAAATTTCCAACCTAACATTTGATTCTAAATACCCTTACTGTTAGTATAATTAATACGTATTTCTAGTAGGTTCTTTTTGCATTTTTTCTATCTCAAGCTCAGAAAACATCCCCCTTTGAGATACTTATCTGCGTTTTGATTCTTCATTTCCGAAATCTACGAAGTAACTCAATTAAATAATAATAATTCCGGCTGTTCACACTTTTCGTTTTACTGATTTCACAACAGTTTTTGTCTGCTGGTAATAATTTTCCTTAGTGGTCCTAAAATCGCGCGGTTGTTCATTTTCGTTAATTGTGTTTTTCAATTTATGTTACCATGCTAGTGGTTATTATCTTTCAGGAATAAGTTAGCTTTCGATCCTTTTTTAGACGCCCTATTCCTCGGAGACGAAGTATTTCTCCACGTGGACGTTATTCTCGTTCAAGGTCTCGTTCGCGTAGCTATGATCGTAAGTAGCGCTGCATTTTAACCTGACGTTTTCCTTCAGGGCGTTACTAAACACTGACAACGTTTGTGTTAACCCCATTTTTACTGAGATGCATTTCTGCTTCAGTGTACGACTGTTTCATCACTTGTCTGTAATACAATTCCTTCATCTGTTCACTAACATATGATACGAAATAAATATATAGTCAAGAATTATGATTCATTTTGTCTTTCTTTTACAGTTGTATGAATGGCAAATAAGAAAATAGAATACTCTAATGTTAAGAAATTATACAGAAGAGTAATGAAAATGAAGAACTGACATGAAGTAATTCCGAAATAATTTTATGTGGACAACGAAATACTGAGAAGTCCGCAAGACCTGAACGCTGTTACTGAAATCAGTCATCTTCTCACTGGATATTTAGGTGGTTCGCTCCAACTGAATATATTTAATGAAACTATACTCATCTCGGCAGCTTCGTTTATTTTAATGTAATCGACCCTTACGTAGCGCCGTGGCGCTTTGAATTTTCGCGAAAACAGGTGTAAGTCATTGTCGATCGCAATGTATGTGAGCTTTGAATTTTCTGAAAAAGCTAGTGGGAATGTCTAGGCGCATGCTACGTGAAATCATTCGCATCTCAAGAAACCTCGAATTCGTAGTTTCAGGATTACTGCAGCTTGAATTGAATAAGAGAAATAGAATTACTGTACGAAATTTATACTAAGACAGTATTCAACTGTATTGTGAATTTCATTCAGAAATCCGTCCACTAATAAGAAAATATTTGAACATGAAACGATTGATCGTAAGTTTTTCAGTTTGTCTTTTTTTAGCTATTCGAGATATGCGTAGTTAAGACAGTTACACTATTTTGGGTTATTACTGTAATGCATGCAATCATCAAAGCAAAGCTTTTATTACCATTAAATGTTGTAATTTTCCAAACAAATACGTACAAAGAGGACAAAGTTAGGGATTGACAAAAGTAACAAAGATGTACCGTGTCCCTTCTGTCGTTCGTAGTCCTTCATGTAGATGAGTCACTCTTCCTGGACTAACCACTGCCCACCCAACACGCGTATCTACTATTGAGCAGTTGTATCGATTGTAGCGTATTCCACCTCCCTGTAAATGAAAGGAATACGTTTAATTCTCTGCTCTAATAAGTGTTTTACTCCTGTCAAGAATTACTCACTTTGTAGTCTTTTCCAGGCTGGTTTAGTCCAATATTAATTGTGTAAGAAGATGCATCGTGGTGAGGTCTCAAGGAAGGTTGTTCGTCTGGTTTGTATCTGACGACAAAATTCATACGAGCCCATGGCTACAATAATGTACAGATGAAATCACAGTCATTATGAAATATTAAATGGGTGCATCATTTCATATTGGAGAGTACATACCTTATCATCATACCCTTGAAAGAGTTTCTTTTGGATCTTATGGACGTATTTTTCTAGAACATGCAGCCAGTGCTCCTCCCAACCAATTTGGCGCATGTGAATGTCTCTTGTTGGTACATTTTCGTATCCTCCTTCCAATCGTGGGTCATAGTTATCTCCTGTAGACCATTGTCCATAATTTTCTACTTCTTCGATAAGATGTTTGCAGAAAGTTTCTGATACTAAAGGAAACCAAAATACGTCTGGGCATGGCTGTGCAATATCTGTCATTGTCACTTCAGGTTTCGCAAAGTTGAAGTATTGCGGGTGTATGTATTGTTCTTCCCAGTCCTGTTTAAAGTGAATTTCGGGTTATTAGAAAGTGTAGCTACAATGTATATAGTAGGTAATAATCAATTTCTGACGATAATATTTGCTCACAAAATGAAACAGTTGTCATCTACGCAGTTTATAACAATGATTGTTTGGATGTTGATTCTGATAATGCGCAGACAGGGCTGCGCTAATTTCTATCGGGATGTTTTTTTTTTGTAGATCTGTCTTTAGTCCCTTGTTGCTCCTGAAAGTGCTTATGCATACAGTCTTTATTTCGGAAAATTCATCTGCTGAAGCGACTTCGTGTACTTGATGTATCTCTAACCTGTAACTGGTTTTTCATGTAATTAAACTTCAAAAAATTCAAATATAATTTCTACCAATGATGAACTCCTTTTTGGTGACTACTGAATTTCGTGTAGTCCATAATGCGACACTGAGCAGTGCGGAAAT